TAAACATAATTTATATAAATTAAAAAGCACTTTAATGGAAAATTATGTTAAAATAATTTAATAGTTTTAAAAAGAAAAAAATATTATTAATGAAAAATAATTTTAATTTTAAAATTATTTTAGTTTTACGAAACTATTGTATTAAAATAATTATGTTGGTATTATAAAATTATACTTATTTTAATATGTTTTTAAATTTTAAAAATAATGCGAAGATTTAACATTATGTTGTTATAAAACCGTTTCGATATAAAAATAAATTTTTACATTAATAACATTATACTGTAAATATAATTATTTTACACTGTAATAATATTAAATACGATATTGTTTTATTTGTTTTATCGTTAAAAGCTGTTTACGTATTTAAAATAATTTTTAGTTTTTAACATTATCTCTGTGATTATATCCGCTTCTTACCCAAACGCGCTAATGTAAAGACTAAAGGTATTAAATCTATATGCTGACTAAGTAAGATACGTTTACATAATAGGTAACCTTATAATACATTATGTAAACAAAATCTATAGCAACAATTGTTATTCTTGAATCTTAGGGTTTTCTGTTGATAAAAAAAAACCGGCGTAAACATAAAAAATCGGAAAGTTTATTCCGTCATTATAAGCCATGTTGCAGAAAAGCGGCTCTGAGCAATATAGATGTAATTGATAGCAAGTGATGTCATGACTCGCTGTATTTCCCAGTTGCGACCATTAATATGCCTAGGTTGGTAGGTACCTATATATCAACTCATCTTCGTTCTAATATATCTAGCTTCCTCAGTTTAACTACTTTAATTCAACTCAATTGTTAATATAGTTACTTCTTACTAGCTATTAAAAGACCTATTCGATTTAGCTTAGCATACTACTCAACATGTCCGACGACTCACAATTCCAGCAGGGTAAATGAGATGTCCATATCATAACAACCATATTGTTAATGGCTATATTGCTAACATGCAAATGTTATAGGGCATTCAGTCCCGGTAACTCATCAAGGGTTTCCTGGAAAGGAGCACAAGCTGCCCATACAAGCCCAGTATGATACCCTACCCGCAGACAACGGCGGGTATCAGAAGTATAAGGCCGCCGGCAAGCTCCAGGGAAAGAAGGCCATTATCACAGGCGGCGACTCGGGAATTGGTCGAGCGGCGGCCATCCTATTTGCTCTAGAAGGCGCCGACTCCTTTATCGTCTATCTCCCCGACGAAGAGAAGGACGCCCAGGAGACGAAACGCATCGTAGAATCGCACGGCCAAAAGTGCCATCTCTTTTCTACCGACTTGACGAGCAGAGACAACTGCAAGAAAGTTGTCATGGAGGCGTTGAAGAACTTGGGTCGTATCGACATCCTCTTCAACAACGCCGCATACCAAATGGTGAAGAGTGACATCCACGAGCTGAGCGAGTAAGTTGACTGTTTCCCGTTTTGGCTTTTCCGGACTTCATCATCTAACAATGACCTAAGGGACCAATGGGTACATACGTTCAACACCAACATTCACCCCTTCTTCTACCTGGCTAAATATGCGCTACCGCACATGAAGCGTGGTGCCACCATCATCAACAACGCCAGCATCAACGCTTACATCGGGCGGCCTGATCTTTTAGACTACACCTCGACTAAAGGTGCCATCGTATCTTTCACTCGGGGCCTCAGCAACCAGTTCGTGGGCAAGGGTATCCGGGTCAACGCCATTGCTCCGGGCCCTGTGTGGACTCCTCTTATCCCGGCGACTATGGACGACGAGGCGCAGAAGTCATTTACCAGTCCCATGGGCCGACCCGCACAGCCAAGCGAGATAGCGACTTGTGTAGTATTCCTCGCATCTGCGGACAGTTCCGCCATCAGCGGCCAGACGATTCACTGCAACGGCGGCACTATTGTCAACGGCTAAGCTAAGCTCTAGGTGTAAGATCTATGACTCTTATGTTATCATGGTGGAGGTAATTTTGGATCTATGATATAAGGACATCGCTAAGGTTTGATGTCAAAACGACGAGCCTCGTAAGATAACAACTTTGGGATATGTTAGGTAGAGCTTTCTTCAACGAATAATGAGATCTATGATAATAACCTCTTTGCTTTTTGCTGCCGCACCCTTCGCATTTGTAATGTATAGAGATCAGCAGTCAGTGAGAAATTGATACATATCCCTCCCTAGCTGGCATACGATTTGCAATTTCTCATAAAAACCAAGGGTAACACTGATAGTCTAGATAACCAATATGTCCAGTTGGCGAAATTTCTATTTGCTTTTGTGATTAGCTAGGTAGCATATATGTGTACCTATACATACATATGGAGTTGCCTGGACTATAATAAGTAGTAAATGGTGTCTGTGACGCATGGGATTCTCCTTATGTTCGTCTCGCCCTCTAATCCAACATATAGTATGGCATGACTTAACGTCTCTAGGCTGTGAGAGAAGGTCCACACCGTTGCAGACTACCTCTTGATTAAAGAGCTGTCGCTCACTGGTGTTTCCCATTAGAGTAGCCTATTTTAATGCCGCTAAGCTTGAGTTATTCCCAGGTGCATGAGATATGCTGTTTGGGTCGAACATAACGAGATTCTCGAATTGATCAAGACGCCTAATGACTGCCTTATAGCTATGGCCCCGCTCTTTGGCACTTGAACGTGTATCGCGCGGTATCCGATAACCGTCCTCGACGGGTATGCGTTGCCCTAAGTCGCTCTGGAAGAAGCGCTAGCTGAATGCACGAATAGGAGTAGCTTCTGTAGATTGAGAATTCTTAAGAAGACTTCTCGCCATCCTTCTCATGTTTACTTGCCTCGCGATATTTTGCCATCTTCTCTCTCAAGTAATGGAAACTTCGTCGAAACCCAGCCGTAAGGACGCCCTTGATACTTTGGGTAGTGCTAGGCCAACTGATCGTCTTTTTGATAACATCGCGGATGATTTTTCGAAGGGCTTCAGGCTCATCTTGCGCGATCTGCTGCTCGAAGCCACTGCCCTGTTGTCTCTTGAAAGAGCCACCATCTTCATCCTTTTTCTCTTGCATCATTTTATTGAATTCGAGCTGGGGTATCTGGAACTTCTTCTGGTATTCGAAGTATAGCTTGGAGCGGAAGGCTTTTGGTAACCGGCGCACCATGTTACCTCGTTTTACAGGGTCCATATCCTGTTGTAATTTTAATACAGAGTCTGTATTGTCGATCCAATTGGGTTTGCTACATGCAGGGTCATCAAATTCAACATTAGGAAGAGATTCGACAAGCGGCGCATAGAGCCGTCGGAAGTTTAGCATGTTATGATTGACGATATTCGCGACCTTTTTCGGGTTCTCAGTAGGAAATGCCATCCGTGGGTCACCTAGATAACTGATGCCAGCAATTGTCGCGTATAATTCTTGTTCGCTAAAGGTGGGAGGCAGTAGAAGGAGAGCTGTCCGCAATGCTGATAGGAGGTTGATCTGATTCGCAAGGCGAACTCTAGGATCATCTCTAAGAATCTTTACTGGCTTATGTAGACGCCCGGCAAGATATAGTGTGTCCCACTCGCTCAGGTCCCTGCACAAAGTATCGATATTGACAACCCCGTACTTGATTAATATACCATCCACCGTAACGTTAGTATTGAAGTAAACCCCAGCACCCATTTTATCCTGCACATAAGACACGGCACCTGATCCTAACGACCCAAGCATTGAATAATGATCACGATGTTGCATGAGATTCAAGGAATGCCAATGCTGCGTATACGAGACACCGAAGATGAAATCAATCATCTTTGGAGAGCCATCTTGGGCTCTCTGGACAGCAACAGGTGCCCTAGGATGGACAGCCTTGATTTGAGCCTCAGTAGCTGTACCACCTGTCGATTGCGGGAAGACGCCAGAGCCGTACGCAAAGGCATATCGGATCGGTGCTCTAAATCTCCACAGTAGCTGACGAAGGGCTTCTTTGTACTCTCGATCAATGATCATATGCTGATTTACACCAAAGTTTGCGTAAGGAAGTTCCGTGAACTTCTCTATGTGGAAATTAGGCTCTTCTTCCCAATCAAAGCCCGAGTCGGGTGGTGTGTTGGAAGAGGCGGATGAAGCAGTGTTCTTCTGCGAATGCGGTTCATCCGGAGAACTCGCAGCGCTCGTGGCAGAGTCGGTTTCCGATTCGAGCTTGTGCGCAGTTTTAGCTCCCTTGGAGACCGAAGCTTTAGACGCATCGGACGTGTATGTGCGGAGGCATAATATGGATGCAGGTGAGATATGAGGAGCTCTGGAGACGTCATAGCGTGATCGATATAGTAATCGGGTTGTATGTACGGAATATTGCCTTGTAGCTCGTGTCGAATGATGGATTGGGAGTCGGAGAGGTGTCCTAATAGCTAACGACGACATACCCGAAGGAGGTGCCGGTCGTATAACCATAGTGTCAGGTTTCGAGGGAGGTTACTGTAAATGTATATGGAATGCGAAGTTACGAGGTTTTGATTGCCGGACTGGATTGTAAATTGCGCAAATTGCTAGTGGCACGAGAAGTCAGTAGTAGCAGCAAAAGCCGCAATGCTATTACCGAGAGAAGAAATCCATGTGTGTTGGAACCTCATGAGTTGAGGTGCTATGTACGACCTAAATGTAGCGCATATGAAAGGAAACTCCAAATTGTTACCGAGTCTTAGCGAAGGAAGCAAGATATAGATAGGTAGATTACGTTAATAAGCCCACCATAGCATCGTGGCAGCTGTGTGGGACCTGAGCCACCTGAAAGCTTGAATTTCGGCAATGGCGTAGACCATCCCCGGAAGAATGCGTAAAGAGCTGTTAGCCAAGTTCAGGAACTTCTGCACTGACTTGAAGACCCACAGATGCAGCAGGGGTAGCTTCTATGTATCTTTATTGCGCACTTCGCATGTACTATGTACATAGGTACCTATCTTGCGCGTACAGGATGTATTAGTGCAAACACTTGTGTGCTTACATGTAATGTATTTGGGGTATATTTTAGAATGTGTTTCACTACCTAGTGAATATGTTTTTGAACGCGCATATTCTATTGCACATCACTTCGTCAAGCTCTTATGGTGTTGGGTATCCCTACGAATTTGAAGCTGTCACCCTGAGGTGGAAGCTTTTACTTCTGAAAGACGTCTGCACGTGATAAGGTATCAAGCTAGCTAATCGCGGCAGCATTGCTAGGGCAGCCGCAAACAACAAAAACAATTTAGCGGGTCTTGTCGCGATACCGCACTTTAAGCACTTTAACCTAATTTATCAACCAGCATTCTTCTTGGATATGTACTCCTAACGAGAGCAACACTAGGCGACTCTACAACGAAACACCATGTCCGGAAGTTTCCGTCAAAGTACCGGTGGCGGATCGTTGTCGAGGTCAAGGGTAAGTAAAGTCGTTAATGAGCAATCCCGATTAATGATCATCAACTCTAAGTTAAGAAATAGGTTACCTCGTTCCGCGCATCGTTACAAAAAGCAACACAACCTTCCTATAACTTTCTGACTGGCACCGAAGATGTACAAGCTTCCCATCATGCTAGACCTTCGTCACGACAAAGCCATGTGGGCGCAGAATCCCTCCGAGCCTCGTCGCGCGAGAGTTCCAAGGAAAATCTTGCGCCACCCGACGCAGAAGAGTACGAAACTCAGCGAAGGAGAATAGAGGAGCTCAAGGCTGAGCTTGCTACGATGCACTACAAACTCGAGAACTACGAGCAAGAGAAGGAAATGATAGCTTTGCAACATGACAATGAATTACGAGATGTACGACGGAAAGCCGAAGATGACTTCAAACAAAAACAGGCCGCCGAAGGTGATAAGAATAAGGCACAGCGTCAGTACGAAAGTATGCAAAAGGAATTGCAGGAGCTTAAAGAAAGTTCTATTAGCGAAAAACTCGAAGTCGAGAAGAAGGCCCGAGATGCAGAGGATGAAGCGCGTCTGCTAAGAGAGCAATTGGAAGACTTGTCAGCGGCAAAAGAGGAGGGAGACCGGATGGCCCAAAAGAGGATTAGTGATATGGAAACCCAGCTTTCAAATCTTCGAGAGGTCATCCAAGGGCTAGAAGAGGATGGCCATTCCCGAGAAGTCTCAATACAAATTGCACAACAGCAGCTTCTAGAGAAGGATAAGCTCATCGGCAATTTAGAAGCTGATGTATTGCGCCTCAAGGCGCAAACCGGCGACGCTGAAACTATCGCTATCATCCGGCGTGAACTCACAGAACAAGTCCAACACATCAGATCACTCGAGTCGAAGAATACTAAACAGCATGCTGAATTAACTCATCTAAGGCAAATACATAGGGCTGTGGAAGTTGTGGAGGAAGAAAAGCGGTCGCTTCAACGGCGGCTTGAGGCCGCCGAAGCTCTTGAACCCGAACTCAATGAGGCCCGGCTTCAGAGACAGAGATTGGAGGATGAACGTTTGGCATGGACTGCCTACCTCCAAAATGCTAGCGTGGAAGGTGGACTTATGGAGTTCGACTCTCCCGAGGCGGTCGCGCGTGCGCTCGTGGAGGAGCGATACAACTCGGCTTCTCTTGTAGAAAGGCTCGGCGAGATACAACCTCAAATCACGGAACGTGATGCGATTATCAAGGCCTTAGAAAGTGAACGCAAAAACTTGAGCGCGCAAATAGAAAAACTGAAGACTACTGTGGCACCTGTATCGGCAGGCAAGGCACAGGCTCGGATAGAGCGCCAGCGTGCCCTTGCCATCAAAGAAGTCGAGTATTTGCGCGCCCAGCTCAAAGCCTTTGATACAGAAGACGAAACCTTCAACTCTGAGAATTTCGATCAGAGCAAGGCTGATCGTATCTCAGAGCTTGAAAAGCTGGTTGATCAGTACAAGGAAGAAGTTCAGACCATGCATAATGAACTCTCTGCCCTGGAATCATCTGGCAACACAGCACCTACCTCTATCGGGTCTAAGCGCAGCCATTCTGACGAGTCTGAGAGTGAGCAGCTCGGTGAACTCAACAGAAAGCGCAGGAAGCTGGCCGACGAGCTTTCGAAACTGCAGACACAGTACCAAGTCCTTCAAAAAGAACACGAAGTTCTACAATCACGCCTCGCAGCCGCTGAATCGACTAACAAAATCCGCGTCCTATCTCTACGCTCCAACCCTACTTCCGACTTCGAAGCGATTAAAACTGCCACGCTACAGGCCCTCAAGCAAGAGAACAAGGAACTGTTAGCGCAGCTACAAAAAGAAGCCCGCCGCAACCCTAACCCGAACATTCCCCTAATTCCGGCATCACAATTAGCTGCGGCACGTCGCGAAATCGAAGAAGCGCAGCGGGAGACGGCATCGGCGCAGAAGACGACGCGGCGACTGAAAGAGGTGTGGGCGGCCAAGTCACAGGAGTTCAAAGAGGCCATCTTCAGCACGCTGGGGTGGACCGTGACGTTCATCCCCAATGGTAAAATGCGCGTGGAAAGTTTATACTGTCCTAGTGTCACCGACGAGCAGGAGAATAGTATCGTCTTTGACGGCGAGCGCGGCACCATGAAAGTCGCTGGCGGACCGCAAAGCCCCTTCGCCCGCCGCATCCAGGATCAAATCCAGTTTTGGGTCCGTGATAAGGGCTGCATCCCAGGTTTTTTGGCCGCCCTTACGCTCGAGTTCTACGAGGAACATACTAGAGCTAGTCGGTAGTCCGATGGACTACTTGAAAGCTACGGAATCAGCGGCTACTTCTATGTACTAGTTAAGGACGAGTACGATAACTGTGTTGATGGGTTCGAATTACGATAGATATCTTTGATAGCGTGGCGACGCTCTTCATGTTTGTTCCACGGTATGAGGAGGTATTGTGTGATACGATGCGGCATAGCATAGCATGTAATGATTACTACCTATGAAGGCGTTCGGGACGATAAGACACATTGCTTATATCCAAACGATTTGGCGCTACAAGCTCACTTTTAACTACTTGTCTCTCCAAAATAGAGGGTATAAATAATATACAACACATTTGAATATTCTGGGCTTATATCACAGTCGTAAGATCAGTACTATAAAAATATTTTATAACTGGCCATGAATTAGAATACTTCTGTAGGTATTTCACCTATGACAGGTTGATATCAAGTCCTTTTAAGATATCCACAAAGCTGAAATGTTGAGTAATGAGAGATAATAGAAACATATATGCACAAATGGAACCTTCAATTTTGACAACCCGCTAATCTGATTTACAAAAGAGCATCATCGTCGTCCAGACAGAAAATTTCCCTACTGTTCTTTCGAATCTGTATCCTCACACCTCTCTTTTATTTATTTCCATTTACCTCGCCTCGTACTTTCCGCTCACCAACTTCCTGACTGTAGGCACGTCAACCCACTTGCCTTCCTCTACGGCGGCGGTGTCGTCCGCGAACGGGTCGTCTTCGGTGAGCTCTACCTCCTTGCTCTTGCCCTCTTCGAACTTTGACACTGATATAGCACTTGCACTCTCGACGAAACTCGATGGTAGGTTGACCTCCCACCGTGCCTCAATTGCGCCTGGCTTAGGCTCTACGCCCTGGTCGCCTATTATCCTGCATACGATCTTCTGCCAGTCTGCATCGGGAGACAGAGTGACATCGCCGAGACGCCAGTATACAAGGTGTTTATCCTTGAGGTGTGTCCCAGATGGCTTAGTCTGAGCGCCTGATGCCTTACCCTCGTATGTAGCAAAAAGGACTAGGTTATGCACCTGCACGCTGGAACCGCCATCAGCGAGTTTGAAAGCCGGGTTGAGTTTATACTGAAGCAATAGTCCTAATTTATCTCCCTGCGGCTTCCATACAGGGTGAACGAGAACCGGTACATGTTCTGTAGCAGTAGCGTCTGGATCTACGTGAAGCCTATAGGAGAAGCCAATGGAAGTTTTGTGAAGATGTGAGAGATCCAAGGTGAACTGCTCCGGGTGTTCAGGGGTATCATTCGTGACAAATATACGATTAGGACCAATAACGTCGAGCGTAGCGAAATTGTTGATTCGAATAGGTAAATGAACTATTAATTGTTAGTTGGAATACCCCTGTTTCAATAACGATAAAACTTACTAGGCAAATTAAAAAAATCCGAGGCGTTGTATGAGAAAGCAATCTCGCCATTAATCTTCACACCCCGAACTTCACCATTTTCGAACGTTGCCGAAACCGTCTCCATGACCGAAGAGTTAAGGCCTGGCTCATGCATGTCAGGGTGCTTTACGTGAATAGTACTACTCAATGAGTTGCCAGAGCGGACGGATTGAGTATCCGATGTACCTGCAACGCTCGCTTCGGAGGCAAGGGTAGCAACCCCGGCAGGTTTCGACGATATGGCGTGTAAAGGAGGGAAAGGGTGTTGGTACTCAGTTGCAGACCCTTCAGAGACGGGAGCAGGAACGTAAATAGTATTGCGTACATCCCTTCGGCCTCTGATAGTACCCCCTTTCCGAGCTGGTATTCCCATAGCTGACAGGCTGTTGGCGACATTTGAGAGCGCTGCTTTCTTTTCTTCCGGATCCTCCTCAGCCACGGGCTCTTTCTGGATATTGAGCTTGAACAGCTGCTCAGCTTCTTGTGCGGCTGCCTCCCTCTCTGCTTGGGAGATAGGATCGTTAGACGGAGCTGGCACACTGAAACCCTCGGAATCCTTTTCTGGTTCTTTTTGAGATGGCGGGGGCCCTGGCGGAGGGGGCACATCTGCGATATCAGAAGGGATTGACGTGCCATTTATGTGCGACGCTTGCGATGTTGCTGTTCCTGCTGGGGCCACATCGGTAGAGCCGTCACGGCCTAAACCATTCATGCCATCATGACTGGTCTTTTCCTTCGTCTCGGACGTTCGGGAAGGTGTCTCAGTCGTAAGGGGGTCTTCTACGAGCGACCCTAGCCTGTTTGTCGAATCGCCAAGGTTACTGGATGATGCCCTGGGGGATACCCCGTGACTACTTTTGATGTTCCTTCCAAAAGGGCCCTTAGCGGGCGATAACGGTCCGAAACCACCATGTATGCTTTGTCGTCTCCGACCAAGCATGGTGCCGATGCGACTGCGCAGCTTATTTTCCGTCTGTCCTTCCTTAAAGACGGAATGTTCGCTACGATCGTCAGCAGCTGGGGCATGGATGCTAGGAGGCGCCAGGGAGGAATTGCCTCCACTTAAGCTAGATGATTGCCGTGCCGTAGTTGTTCGCTTCTCGATCTTCGGCCGACCAACCGTCGTCTTAGCCACAAAGTTTTGGATCTCGGTCGCAGTGCTATAGTCCAATAAGCTATTCAGTACCGTTTCAGCTTCGGCTTGGTGACTTTGCGCTTGCTCCCCTTCGTACGTGCCATACTGGGTAAGACAATCGCGCAACTGATTCATTCGACTTTCGTCTAAGGCCTGCAGAGATTCGAAAACAAATGGCGCCTGGGATTCCCATTGTTGAGTAGCAAACTCGAGCTTCCCAGCTGCTAGTTCTACCTTCTGGGCGCTGGCTTTGCCGCCCTTCCTACTTAGCTTATCGGACCGCTCTTGGGCATCTTCTAGCTCCTTGGCCATATTCTGAAGGTTTCCTTGGATGGTTTGAAGGTTCATCATCTCTTTCTTCTGGTGAAAGCTTCGTAGGGGTGTCTCAACATCCTTCTCGACCTTGGTGGCGAATATGTGATGCGACATAGCAAGAGCATCGGCGGATTGGATGATCTTGTCCCATTGTGCTTGGAAAGTCCTTGGTGATGATAACATCGTCAATACTAGAGAAATAAAAAGGGGTTGCGATAAAAAAATATTGCGGTATTGAATAACATACCCAAGTTCCGACTGCGCATTAGGGACCCGAAACTGGGTTAACCTCTTCAAACCTTGGACATATTGCTCCTCTACTTTCCGACGCTCCTGTGTCGCAGTTTAGCTATCTGATGATGGTTGGGAGGGTGGGTGGTGCGTATAGCGTATAATACCTGTAACCAATCGGCGATCTCGGTGTTGACTTTGGAAATGCGCTTGACTCGGTCGTTAAGAGCATGAACTGCTTGGTTAGGATGGAGGTTTGCCTGTAGAATTTGAGTCGAGTAATTAGTCGCTTCCGTGCGCATATAGCATTATGGTATGAAGGAGGCAAATCGAAGATGTAAGCTTACCAGCATAGCTGGATACTCAGCCCTTGAGAGATCTTCCATCGCGAATTAAGGACGAGCGCAATCATACAGAGGATATAGAGGTAACAGAGGTAGTACGAGCAAAGACGTAAGAGGGGGGCGATATAGAGACATATAAATACGGTATTAAAGAGAGAAGCGAAAGGAAATAGATTATGAGAACATTGGAAGAATAGTGGTTAAACCAAAACGCAATTGACAATGACGACGAGAGAAGAGACAAGACGAGGTTGGTATTGGCGATGATATTAGCATTTAGTATTAACGGTCGGGTTATGTAAGGTGAAAGGTGGATATAGCTTGAAGGGGCGTGTGCTTTTTTCCGTTTTCTGCGAATGCTGTTACCAGGCTTACATAGTATAGGCATATAGGCATGTTATAGGGTTGTTACTGGTATTATTACGCTATACCCTACAGCTAATCCTTTGACTTAGCCTTCTAAAGTGGAGTTTGCTGTGCCGAAATGGAGTGTGGGTTTCTTCCTTTTACACCTAGCTCCTGCTATGTTAGGTATGTATTTCTCACATGCCAGGAATCCCGTTAAGACATTAATCGGCATGTACCTAAGGCAAATACCATAATTTAGAGGTACAACTTAGTTTAGTATCCAGCCTTAGGCAAGTAAAGAGGAACCGGTCCAACCTTCTTCAGCCTTCAATGTTGGTCTTTAATTAATTCCATGTATAAGTATAAAACATTTAATCCTGTTACCAGATTCCAAAGCCACATATACGGATCCTCAATTGCTATTTCCAAATCTATATCATCCTATGTACCTAACTTAAGGTAATAAGGTAATCTCCCAACCAAGAAACCCCTAAGCCCCAAACCCCGCCATCATGACCTCCAATTCCGACTGGAGAGCCTCACTCAGCTCATCCGATCGTTATGATAATATCCAAACCATGTAAGTCCATCCCAATATTATTTCTTCCAAATATTTCTAAATGCATACTAATATTACTCTTCTTTTTAGAAAGGATGCGCTTGACGGGTTAAGTGATGCAGACCCTTCCTCTCAAAAAAGCGCATTTGTCCTTGAGAATGAGGCCTACAAAACCTCCACGTCGCGTGTAAGTAACCTCATATCTACTACCCCCATATCCATGGCTTATAATTCGCCCATCTTTAATTTCGACAGCACGCTTACCCCGTAGTAGTCTCAGTATGATGAAGCATGCCGGAGTTTACCAGAGCAAAAAGCACCGGTTTCACCCGAGGCGCAGCCTGCTCCAATAGAACAAGTCGCCCCAGAATCTCCTGGTACTACTATAGGACATTATCAAAACTGTCATTACGTCGCAAGCGGACTTACTGCCGAAGTCTATAGGTCAAGTGCAGTGGCTCTCAAAGTAATTGTTGATACTTCTGTCGGGGAACCTCATAATCCTTTTAGAGAAGCCAAGGTCCTACAGTTGCTGAAAAGACCGTGTATTCCTTTGCTAGAGACTTTCCGAGATCAAGAGCAGCGCTTTACTTTAGCTTTTCCGTTCATGCCCCTAAGTTTAACAACTCTCATTAAGCAGGGTCGTATACCGAGAATCCGGATACAGAAACATTTTACGGACCTCTTTAATGCTTTAGTATATATCCACGAGAACGGTATAATACACAGGGACATCAAACCTTCGGCACTTCTACTTGAGTCGGCAGATGGTCCCGCCTACCTTTCCGATTTTGGCGAAGCATGGCATCCTGAGCTCTCAATCCATACGGAACCTGCTCATAACAAAATCCTAGACGTTGGCACTGGCCCCTATCGTGCACCTGAGACATTATTTGGCGATAAGTCGTATGGCCCCGCTGTCGATATGTGGGCAGCCGGAGCTATGCTTGCTGAATGCTGCCGGGAAACTCCCCGAGAACTTTTTGAATCCCGAGCGGCTCACGAAGACGGAAATCAGCTCGGTCTAATATTAAGCATTTTCAAGACAATCGGGAGTCCAACTCGGGAGTCATGGCCGGAAGCAGTGAACTTCAAGACACCCCCATTCGATATGTATCGAGTATTTGAAGGCCATTCTTGGGATGTTCTTCTACCGGATGTTGAAGAAGATTTTCGGGAACTTGTTGCTGCATCAGTAGTATATAACAATCATAAAAGAGCTACCGCATCCCAAGTAAGGGCCTCTTATAAGATCTATTCCTCACTCAGCGCTAATATCATCCAGGCATTGAAATTTAGATGCATGCTACAGGGATGAATTATTATCTCTTGGCCCACTACTCTGTAATCTTGACTATGACGAGTAGCTGGTAAGCATGCGTCGTGGAAAATGCATATACAAAGAAAGACCTCTAGTCGTAGCGCCTGAATCCACTTGAGATGGGATCAATTCTCACCTTCCATTCTCTAGGCTTACTCGGCGCGATATTTTCTTAGCCAGGACCACGCCTGTGACAACCTATGTGCTAATCTAGAATTGCAACTAGGCATAGTACCTAATTGTCCCAAGTGTCGAACACTTCAAACGGTTCGTCTCCATTGCGGGTCATGGATGTATTCGATGGATATCTCGAGCGGTATTTTAAAGAGACAGCTTTCCTTTCCTCAAATACCAAAGACCCACCGCGACGATAAGCGCTATGATGGAAGTCGTACCGAACATACCCTTCATGAACGTTGTTTTCATCCTAGGGGTGGCTGCTTCGCCAAATTCTTCTAGCGTATTGAGTGGCGGCCACTTTTCATCGGGTATCGGGACGCCTAGGTACGGGCAAATCTCGTCCCATCCGAACCCATCCTCGAGCTTGCACACCTTTAGCTGCTCTGGTGGGACAAGACGCTTTACTTCTGCGATACTGTGTCCAGCATGTTAGGATATCCGGTTCATAAGAAGGGGTTTTACTCTAACGTACTAGTTCGTGTAATTCTCAGTGAGATACTTGTGCCCTTCCGGCGTCAAGCCGTATCCATTGGTGTAGTAACCTACCACCATCTGGGCCATAGAAGATATGCCAGAGGCAAACTCGTCGAAGTACTTAAATATAGACATCGGAAGAGAGTTGAATTTTGTGTGCATCATACCAATGGTGCTTTCGAATGACCTCACCCATTTGTCCGGATTTCGTTCTACCAGGAGAAATTTGGCGTCCGGATAGGTTTTCAACACCGAGCGTATCATGAAGAAGGGCATTTCTATGATTACCTGAAACCCAGCGGTCGTGAGTTCGAATCGGACAGGTAAGAACAGCGAGGAATACATACGTCGTAGTCGGCAAACCATTTATCGAACTCTGCGCGGCCATCTTCAATTCATGTTAGCTCTCTGTATATTTACTGGTACATGTTCGAATAATCAAGAAACCCTTAAGCAGCCTTGTCTCTCTTCTTTTTTCTAAAAAATTTCACTTACATGGCTTGCCCTGGTGGAACATATCAGCCTTGAGCCCATCATTCAAAATATTCACTGCTTGAGGGCCGGTTTTGACCACCTCGACCATGTGGTATGGCTTAAAGCCTAGAAGCTTCAAAGCTAGGTAGAGGCCATGGGTGCCAGTTCTGCATCTAGTAAGAAGCTGTTTCTAAATTTGCAATATAAAAGGTCCTAGACCTTGCTCACCTAGGTGCGCTTAGCACTATCAGTTTCTTAGGCTCGACATGGGTCGGTGTTGGAAGTAGATCGATCTGGCGAGGCATGATTGCTAAACTGAGCTCTCGAATGAAGATGTGAATTAGGATGACATGCTATTGCGTGTTAACCTACAATCATAGTCAGGGTGCTTGCGACTGGGCTATATAAAGGAGCCCATCATCCCTTTCTTCCTCTACGGCTACCGGTTCTCGGTCCTTTCCCTTACATATTCATTCTCTCTTGGAAATCAGCTCTATGGGACCATCATAATGGAATTATATTACATGTATTTACTCGCTCTTGGATATTTACTGACGTCCGAGCTTTAAACAGCTGTCGCGAAGCGAATCCGACATGCTACATATATTTATGTATGAGTGCTAGTCGTAGTCCTACGCGTTGACCTATCGACACAACAAGCTAAGGAGCTATAACCAGACGCGCATGGGTTCGATATGTATGGGGGTATTTGTGGGCAAGGTGGACATCCTCATACTGGGTACCGTCAAAAGCCCGACTTCGCACGCTCTCTAAGCTGAGCTGACAGACTGGGCCTCAGGTCTCAAGGACGAGAATAGAATCCTACAGATCGGGATCGGCAATTGATTTGCGCGCCTCATCTCACCGAAGAATTATTTTGTGCTCTTTCAACGATATACCGGTGCTTTTACCACCTAGTATGCGTCTAGAGCACCAGTTTAATTCGTCATATTATCCTCACGACACCCAAACGGACTTAGGAGAATACCTAGGAAAAAGTCGATGAGGGAATAGCTTCTACTTTCTACCTGAGATATGAGTCTTTGACAGCATGTCAAAATCAGCCAAGAGTGTACGGGTGGCTACCGCTGTCCACGCATCAAGTCTTAGATGCTTTGAATCAGCTTCGCGCGTTCTGTGGATATTAGACAATGATTAGAGTCTTTTATCAATCAATTAGAAATACTATCTCGAAGGTAATATGGGTTCAGATGTCTATTCGAGGACATGGACCCCGGATGCCATCCAATAGCCGACAGCCGCAGTCAACTTCAATGTTTTTCATTCAGATTACCGGACTACATAAATTCCCGACGAGAAAGGTATATGGAACTCGCTCGTCCTTTTCCTTTCCGTTACTAGATGAGGATATCGTATATATTCCTATCTACCGCCGAAAAGCAACTGATCATACCATCCTTAATGTAGCCGGTATCGAGGTCTTGCGCTCTGCAGCACGGCAATTGACGAAATAAAGTAATGTGCGTTGTGATTCAAGCGGATATCCTAATAAAGCTACGGTGAAATTCTAGACCATATACGGCATGTATAAGATCACACTTAGGGGAGGTTGTCTGGAACCTGCGGTACAGTCATTAGGCGGTAAAAATGAACCTGATTTCCCGTTGATGCCCTTGAGTCTGGTCAGACGTTGTTTGCTATAACACACTAGGAGACGTTCAGGGATGCGTTACCAGACACATAATACAAGCATACGGTATCCAGTCGAAACAGGGATATTACTGGGAGAGAAGCTTTTCTCAACCCCTATATTTAAAGGTTGAGATGATACTCTTCACTAATATCGCAGTCATAAAAATACCAAAGAAGTCACCTGTGATTCCAGACACCTAAATCGTATTATCATCAGAACAGAGCCGAACTGATAGAGTAGTCCCGGAAGTAGACGTGTCTAGCATTCTGATAATATATCTGCATTCACACTTCTCTGTACCCTTCCGTATGCATTCTGTTCACCCTAGTTCCACGAAGATGTATTGGCTAATAGAGCCCAGAGAAACTAATACAGGCATATAACTTACTCAAACTTGGGATGCTGACACATAGAAATTAAGTAAAATAAATACCTCACGTTGTTCTACTCTATATAATGGATACTAATACACCCCTAACAACCACTCCAACGTTCGTTCTATATGATTATAAAACGCACCATTTACACTGTCTAATAATGACACTACCACGAAGTATGCCCACCGTCTATCACAAGATTAGATCCAGTCATGAAGCTGCTCGCATTGCTCAAGAGGAACAACGCCGCGCCCTTGAACTCCGTCGTCTTCGCCAGCCTACCCATCATATTTTCGCCTTTCCACTTGTCCTTAAGAGAAGGAACCTCCTCGAAATTTTTAAGCACCATAGGCGTCAAGATGTGTCCGGGGCTCAGGCAGTTGACACAGATTCCTCCCGTGCCGTCGCCCTTGATCGGGCTTCGTTCCATTGCCAGACTACGCAACAGTTGGATCAGCGCGCCCTTGGACGAGTTGTAGACCGACGATAGGAGGCCTTTGTTGGCTACGCTGCCGCTCATGCTTGCCACGAGACATATGCTTCCTCGGCATTTGTACTTCATCATCTGACGAGCGGCAGACGTTGCAGTCATTAATACACCGGTAAATTTAACGGCTAGCATCTTAGCAGAATCGGCCGGCTCATAGTCGACTGCCGGTGTAAGCTGTTGGATACCGGCGGCAGCGATGACACCGTCCAGACGCCCGTTATCATCTGCGATATCCGTTATTGTCTTATCCAGATGCTGTGTGTCAAGGACATCTTGCTGCCGGTAATGAAGCGAACCTCCCCAATCGGGGACTACTCGTCTTCTGACCTCTGCCCAGTGTTTATCGGGGTTTTCTACACGATCGAGACAGTAAACTAGATATATGTTAGCAAGAGTAAGTGACGATAGAGAGCGCTACGTAGGGTAAATATCACCTTTTCCTCCAGCCTCAACGAGGCTCTCAGCAAGAGCAAGGCCCAAGCCCCCTGCAGCTCCCGTTACGACGAAGACTCTGCCCTTCAAGTCGAAGTCAGCGAGCCGCTTCTGACCGACATTAATATCAACATTAGGGGCTAATTCGTTCGCCGGATTTTCTCGCGGATCTGGGTTGGTAGGTTTCGATAGTAGACTAGGTGAAGAGTGCAATAACCTAGGCTGTGCTAGAGCAGGGTTACTAAGGGGAACCGCTCGTAGGGCTCAATATATGGAAGAATGCAATACACTTGGACGAGTACGGCCCAAGGTCCGCGCCAATCTCGGGCAAAGAGACATCATGGGCGATTTTTATCAAATCTCATTTACAAGAGTTAGTATTTTACTAAAGTATTTTACTGAATATATTGCACTAAAACCACCTCACAAGTCAGATCAAGACCAAGATGGAAAAGCAACCGGGCTTATTAGTAGAATGTACAATGAGTTGAAGCTGCAAACGCGACGAGCAACTGATGTATGGATTCCGTCATGTTGAATACAGCAGCGACAATCCTAACTGCTTCGCTGCTTAAAACAGTAACATCAAGTCGTCGATGCGTTAATAGACGAGACGAATCAGCTCAATTTCCCTTGGTTCGCATTGCGTCAAATCCAAATCATGGTGTAGTAAGTAGTATGTCGTGTACCTTGTCGACGATAAAGTCTACAAATAGGTAATACGATACCTACCTTAGGTACCTATGTACTATGTATCAACGTCAGAAAAGCGGGGGTAGGGGTGCGTGTTAGCTTAAAAATGACGTATGTACTCCGAAAAGTAGGGGTCCCGTACCATTATCTGATCCGTGCCCGGGATCCGACATCATCATTCCGGTTGTCGGGAAGGGAACCCCTTTATCCCGAACCCCTATTCTAAGTAGCGAATACTACGTACATCTTCTAGTTCAAGCAAAACAACATCATAGTAGAACCAACTACACCTTTAATTATAATAGGAATAAAGACTATGTGTACTTCTATGATTACGAACCTTCTCTGCCTACCTGTTATTTAAGTATCCAAGGGAATACCTATCAATCATTCGAGACGCAAAACCATGAAAACATTATTATGAGCTATTCAATAAAAACCAATTACTTTACAATCATGTCCCTATGGCTTCTAGAATGATGTCTTGTTTAAACTCTAAGCCTTTATCTCTTGAAGTTTGTCATGGAACATAAGCTGTGCACATATCCCAGCGCTGATATGGAACAAGCGCGATACCAATGCTATATTGCTCTCTGATCCAAAACATTACAGGCGTTTCAATGAGGATTTAGTTAATGTCGCCCTTTTCTTATCTTCCGCAGTCTATCGTTGATCTTGCTCCCATGCACATCTGTGGTAAAGCTTACAACCCTTGTAAAGTACATTGTCTTAGTTCGTATTGTATCAAGTCTAATAATGGCAACTGGATTGTTCGTCACCCCCGAGAACGCTGGAGAAAAGCGCCCTAGGGAAGACGATCAATATGAGTCGAGGCCTGCTAAGCGTGTTCGTCGGGAGCATAGTGGGTTATTCTATGCGCCATCAGGACGACGGACAGGCTATCAACCAAGGCCGTCAATTCAAAGACAAGCTCAACCGCGTACTCAACCCCCCTCTCAAGAGCAATCTCAAGAAGCAGTTCAACCAATCTCACCGTCTCAATTTTTCGAAAAGCGTGAAAACTCCGAAGTCTCTGGTAGGAATTCCTGGGTTCGAGTCCCCTCGCTGGATTCTCAAATGTATGATTCTCTCCCGAGCATTAATTTAAGGTTCCCTTCCGTATCTTCTAGTACCGGCACCTCCAGTGTTTCCGGTTCTACTGGCCCTATCTCGTTTCACGATATCCTCAATGATATCCTACGGGCCCGGTCGAATCTCGAAGACATTATCGCAGGCCGTAGATCTACATCAGAGGATCTAAACCCCGAAAACCTTGCGGCAAAGCTAACCCGCAAAAACCTTAGAAGACATCGCAAAATCGAGAGAATGCGCCGAGATGCCGCTAAATCGACCCCACAGCCCTCAGTTCCGCCCCGTCGTCCGATCTTCAAATCAGTAAACTGGAACAGAAAGGCTAGTCGACCATATAAAGATGATAACGTATCACCACGTAGAAAATAAGGGGGAGATCTGTCTTCAACACGATGTGTGGATGAAACCCTGATATTGATGATTATCATCCGATTATTCATTGATAGTCATGATAAAATAAAATGCGCTGCTATGGATAGTATGTAATATGAAAGAAACATGTCGCGCAATACTTAGATACATAATTTAAAATTTAAATATCAATTTACTCATAGGGTATATCGTAAATGCTCAAGCTTGTTTAGTCCGCAATTCTAGCCCGGATCCTACATCTTCAAACTTTACAGTCATAGCCCTAACTGACTTCTTCAAGTATCCTTCTTTATCAGCATCCCTAAGCCGCGCTCGTGTTTGGACATCGACGGAGTGCGTAAGCGTGGCGATCATATTCGTCTTCCAAGGATCTAGACGTAGTCTATGCGTCTCTATAATAGTCCATACGCAGAAAAGGAAGCCGAGGGCTATAGTGATTAAGGGAAGGATCATATAATACCAATTAACACGGATGTGGATGATCCACTCCCGTCCAACGCCCGGAGTTTTTACATCAGAGATGTCGCGCATCCAATTCGACACGGTCCAGGCGACCTGGTCAAAGGTAGCTGATAAGTCTTGGCTTTGGTATAGAGTTTGTGCAACTGGGATTGGATCGGTGTTTAGTCCTATGGGCCAGGTCATAACTTTGTTCAAGAGATCCTCATTGACAAAGCGAACTGTGCTGCCAACAGTGTTTTCCGTCAAGTTGAAACGTCGAGTAACATCTTCGGGTAGTTTATACTTCTCGATGTCTCCATCGGGTATAAACAATTCGAGATTACTTCGGTTAACATCTCCGTATTGAGAGTAAAGCGAATAGTTATTCCACTTCTCGTAGGCATCAAAATTATTAACGTCCTTGAGCTTATGATAGGAATCAAAGTCTCGTTCGGCCCAAGATGCCACAATATTTTCCGCGAGGACACCTTTCTCGACGGTAGACTCATACGCGTTAGTGCAGAAATATAAAGCACATTCGGTTGCCGAAACTGGAGTCTCGTCCCATATGAGCTTTCCTGCTTCGTACTCTGGCGCAGCTCTTAGAATCTCCACTGCAGTGATCATTGTCGTTAAATTTTGGTATGCGAGGGTAAGCTTCGCGTCTGTAATCCTTGTTGCAGACATGAAGGCAACCAGGGAGAAAAGAGTTTTGCCCTCGGTCAGGTCAATGTCGGACGGGTTTGATAGGTTGAGACTAGGTAAAGAGTTTATAGTGAAGTTTGCGGTTATCGCTTTGGTATTTGAGGATAGAGTTCCTTTATTTATTCCGTATTCATAAAAGCGTTGCAAGTGGTCCGTTACATTGCTACATGAGCTACAAACGGCCAACGAGGTGAATACCGGCCAGGTGCAATTCGCAGTAGGACAGGTAAATGAAGTAGTCTGCTTATCGCGGTTTGAAGAATTGTAAAACCCGTTATTAAACGAGGACAGCATCCCCAGGTCTGGTAGGGTCTCAAAGGGGTCAAGAGTTACAACCAGGTCAGAAGGCGTCAATTTTAGTGCTATAACTCCAGTCGAAGGGTCACCGGTGTAAGAGCCTATGTCAAGTGCCTCGCTGCGGCTGAGTTGGATCATAGAAGAATCGACGCTTGGGTCACCCTGTCCCGGGAATGAAATAACCGCTTGTAGGAATGGTTCGAAAGCCATTAATAATATCGTCACGACTGCACCGATAGCTACCCAATGACTGAATAAAAATCAGCAACCAGGGCATTCAGAGGATGACCAAAAAAATATGGACTCACCGGATTCGAAGCCAAATAATAAGCCACAAGCTTCCCCATGGCCCACGACTAGCATCATCAAACCTATCAAAGGCGACGAGGTTGTCTGGTCTCTTTTTGAACCAGTTCCATTTAGCTTGGCCAAGACACGAACTGATGGCAAATCCTAGAGATGTTCGAGAAACAGCCCCCAAGCCGGAGATCACGACGTTGACCGAGATGGAACCTTTCCAATCAGATAGCGGACGACCATTCACATATATCAACAGCGCAATCAAGGCTGCCAATGCGCTAAAGCTAACAGCCAGCGCCCCTATCTCCAAGTTCCAGTTGTGTCCGCGTGTCGAGATGATTTGGGGTTTTGATTTGGAGGGTGTTGATAGAAAAGGTTCCTCGGCGCTGGCATATTCGAATTGTGTAGGGTGTGAAGTGGGCACTTGAGGAGGGAGCGATTTACTACTAACAGTCGGGAAGCTAGATTCGGACTTGTCTTGAGCGTAGTACGGCGACGGCGACGGTTCCGGCGCATGCCCTTGCGCCTGACCTAGATCCCCATGAACTGGTTGATATTCGAAAGGGCCGTCGGGTTGACCTGTGTATCCCGTGTATCCCGTGTATCCCGTATATCCCGTATAATCTGTATAAGCATTGTAGCCGGAAGAGTAATAATATTCGGGTTGGTTACCGAGATAGTGAACTTCGTTATTTCCACTCCCACTCTGTGGGACGTTCTCCATCGGATTCAAGAAGCTAAACAGAGAAACTAAATGGAGAAGTTTACGCGGTTGAAACTAAGAACAGGGCCTCAGCTAGCTTATATAAACTTCGATATCGCGTAAGATACGGCGTCGCACCATGGACTGGCCTAGAAGGCTCAGGTAGCTGGGTAGCTGAGCCCAAAACACTATGTTACATCTGCAAGTATGAATCGCTAACTGGGGGCCATTTCTCACACGTGCGATTGGAAATGCATGAAACATCAGTCATTACTACCTAGTAAGGCTGGGAAGAGGGTGCGAATTTAAGGATAATTGGAAAGTTAGCCGCATGGCTGATACCCTTGATAAAGAGCACGAACGAACCAACCAATTAAATCTGCATAAATTCTCTTAAGCGCTTTACATACATACAAGGATGTTGAGCGACCAACCACATATGTATATATATTATGTATGTTGGCGCGAGATCACACGGAAAAGAAAGTATAGTTTTCCATATGAAGCTGAAGGAATCCTGCCGGAAAACCCCCTCCTGCGAAGCCCGAATATTATAGCCCAAATATAATAGTCGCCACCCGATTAAGGGGGGCTTAGCATGTCGTATTTCACCGCTTGCGCTTTAACTTTATTCAAGGTCTTTACAATAGTTAATTTATTGAACTACACGTACACTAATCGTTCGTACATACCTAGGTAGGGAGGTACCTATTACGAAAAACCCCTAGAAATAAGAGAAATAGTCAAGCACTATAATATTAGAATCTACAATTCAACTAGTACTGTCCTATGGATTACGAATACTGTGCATGTTCCGGTACCATTACCATTAGTCTTACCACTATACACCTGATTCGGCCATTTCCTCTATAGAGTGGGTTATAACTGCCTAGGTTCCTTTTTATTAAGCATTCCTTGCCGCTCTCCTATCCGACCCGAGATAGTCAATCGGGTTACGACATAGGGGGCATGTATTTTGATTGCTGCTCTGGAACCACTTATACAGACAAGTGCGGTGGAAGAGGTTTTTACACGTCTGGCAGCGTTTGTCCGGCGTCTTCTTGTCGCTACTAATGATGCTATAGCAGATGGCGCATTCGGTCTGTCCTTTCATGGCACCCACTATGTTACGGCGGAAAGTCGTGAGGCCATCAATAATGCTACCACCCTATCATCATCATGTGAGATACAATGTCCAAGTCTCAGGGATAATGCGATGTTAACTCACCGAAAATGTGATCACGGCCTGCGTTGTCATGATCCAGCTCTGCCACTTTCTCTCGTTGACCGCGACGCGGTTTATTCCCGACACCGAAACGTTCTCGAGAGGAAACTCCTGCGGGAGCCGTATCGAAATTGATGCTTGTAGCTCATCCACCTCGTACCCGGCAGTAACCTCCCTAGCAGCGCGACTCACTTTCACGATCAACTCGTTTTCGCCATCTGCAGGCGCCTCCTGGGTTGTGGACCAGTTTTCAACATCGTCCAGTGCTTCTGATATGATGATAGGGGAGAAGAATTCCGTCATCCAGCCTTCGACTGCAATCTTAGTCTGCTTTGATCGACATTCCATGTACCATGTCTTGAAGAGACTAGGAACATATTTTAGCACGAGGTAGTATAAATGGACGAGGAGCCACTGCATGTTCCTCTCTTCAGTTTCGGCTTCGGCGAGTTTTATGTCATACTTCTTAATATGCTCCTTCGTAAAGTTGACTTTATCTAGGTTTAAGGCATGGGCCGCTGAATGACCTAGAATATCGAAAGTAAACTCCATCAGTGGACCAACATAATTAGCCGCCTTAAGATTCTCGGCATAATCACTGCGTACTTTAAACGCTGCAGCTTTGAAAGAGTCAAAGATGAGGTGCCAGGAGAGAAGATAAGATCGAATTGGCGATGGGAAACGGCCGAGGGCTTCATCAGAGTACTTTTCCAGCGTTGGGGCATCGAGAAGAAGAGATAGGAGCTCATCCGGAAGCTGAGCCGCTTTCTTCTCCAATAAAACGTCTAGCGATAGATCCTCCTGGGCGGCAGGAAGTGCTTTGTGAAGAATGGTAAACGCTGCTGTTTGGATGCCCCGCGAGTCGCTCGCTACTAGACCATATAACTCAGACAGATCTTTTATGTGGTGTATAGGAAGCTTTTCTACTAGCCGGCAGATAATTGAGTCTACAATCTCCAGGGGCTGTGTATCTATTCCCCTAGGAATTTTAAGTAGCTCAATCAACGCAGCTGATATTTTCTCTGCGGATGTCTGCAAAACATCAATAAGGTCGTCATTAGGTTCTTCAAGTGATCGCAACGTAGTAAGTAGACGAAGAGAAGCGTGCAGTTCAGACAGCCGACATTCGAGTGGCCCAGTCTCCGGTTTTGTCCAGAGGTATATGCAAAAACATACAGTCTTCTCCCAATAAGGGCCGTAGATGTCCTTGACACATGGAAGGAGGCGCTGGAGGCTACGACAAGCTTCTGCTCCGAAACGATAGTCGAGGTCCTCAGGAGTCTCTAGCCACGATGTAATTTGCTTGACCGCGAAAACTAGCCGATTGTTCGCGACTGGAAGTTCACCGGCATCATATATCTGCATGCAGGCGTTGAGAAGCACGAGAGTGATAAGACTTTCCTCCTGATTAGGACTGGCTCCTGCAATATCGCTGACCAGGCGGTTGCAAAAATTGCTAACTGCCCTTGAAGCAGAAAGTGCTTCGCCAAGGCCACTAAGGATTGCGACAGCAGGGAAGACAGTGGACGTGTTATTCTTGAGTATATCCAAATCAGATAGCCACTGCTCTCCGCTAGAAGGGAAACCGTGCTTCTCTGCCAATGCCTGGAGAATCTCACTCAAAGCCCGCGCACAATATAAACCCATAGGTGTTAAGGGCCTTGACTCGTCAATTAGTCTTCGTATGATGTCGCACATCAACCGCGATTTATCCGTGTTGCAACCATCTCTCCAATTAGCAGCATCCCCTGTCATATCGACGATGGCCTTTCGCGCAGATGAGATCAACTCTTCAGCATTTGATAGTAAAGCATTAGAGGAAAGCGAACTCCAAATCTTATTTTTACCTTTAACTGTTAGTTGATCTGTTACTAACTGTATGGTCAGGTTCAGATATATCACGATCTCCACACGCTTTAGAAGTGGCAGGGCGTCAAGCTGAAAACCCGCGGAAAGCAGTTTAGTGGTGTATATCGCCATGCGCCCAGGAATTGAACAGCCATCCCGATCCCTTCTTGCAGGTGTACTCGATGTGGCCAGCGTGGATGGTGGGAGGAAATAAGCACCACCAATAACACTTGTGAAGGCGAGAGATTGGTTGGGTGTCTCTTGTAGAAAGAAGGTCAACTCTTCCCTCCATATATTTGTGTCTGGTATCAAATTTTCTAGTTGACCATTTCTCTCTGTATCGGTAACAGAGCTTTGAATAACTTGCCGGACAATAGTATCAACGCTGAGACATTGTTAGCGGGGCTATAGCATAACACTAGAGTAAAAACATACGCAAGCGAGCTCGAGTCAGCGGTAGAGATACTTCGCTGCACGAGGCTAGATAGCCGAGAAATACCGGTTGATGGGGTTTCCATCAACCCCTTTAGCACGGATATATCGGAAGTAGCATCAAACCGCTCAGAAACACTTAGCAAGTCAGTCATCAAATTCATGTGAGTTACTTCGTCTTGTAGTAAAAGATCTGGCTTTTTCTCCGCTATAAGACGTAAGCCCTTGATTACATCTGGATTTGGCTGGCCTAAGGCGTTCGTGATGCGACCTCCAAGCTCCTTCGTAAGTCGACTCGCAGCAGCATCTGTTAATGCATCAAATGTCAATACCGCGTCGAAAAGGTCCCAGCCTGAATCTATGGTACCGACAGCACACATCAGGCACCACTTTGTTAATTCTGCTTGTAAGTTCTGGGACTGCTTGGCAAGAGCGCCAGCTTCCTTGGTGGAAATGAGAGTAGTAAGGGCCGGTAAAGTGCTGGGGTTTTCGATGTATTCTAGAAGGGTCGTGATGTTTGCCTTCCAAATTTTCTCGTATTCCTGTTTCTGTTCAGGAATCTGGCCTAACAGGTTTATGCTTGAGAAAATATATGATGCAGCTGGTGACTGAATAAACTCAACCCCATTAGTTTGTAGCGTTTTTATGAGATAGTCGAACACATCGCTTATAGCAGCTGAGGATTGCCTAAAAAGGCGCGGGGATTGCTTGAAAGCTGATTCTACGGTGACTGCTGCTCCGAATGGTTTCCATTTCCTTGTTTCTAGCAACTTGAAAACATCCTGAAGCAATTCTAGGGAATACTTGGCAGGGATATCCGGAATGGGACGGTCAGTCCCTAGTGTTTTCTCATGAGCGTCCGAAATTAAACCCGTAAAAGTGAACCATTTATAACCCTCGTCGGCTACTGCCTTCTGTGACTTTTCATATTCCTTCGATGCTACCGGTAACGAGTTGTGGATACGAGCTCTGAAGTTTTCCTTCCATTGGCCCCATTCAGAGTCGGTGGCTGCTATAACTTCCCCGAATGGTGAAGTTGCCGTTGATGTGTATGCTTTGATTAGAATTTGAACTTGGCTTCCAGAAGCCCATGTTGATGTTTCTGGGGTTGGATAAAAATAATGTGCGATCAGAGGGAATATGTCTTCTTGCGCTATCTTGACTCGGTCCTTAACGGAGCTCATCGCCTTGATAAACTTCCTAGCAGTGTTGAGGTATGTGGACCAGCCATCAATAGCACTACTGCGAGGTTCCTCTCTCCTGGTTAGACCTAACCTCATGGACTGTAAGAAGTCCAAGGCAGTGTCTAGGTCTTTTGGAAGTATTTCGGTAGGTATAACTTCTATCAGGCGATTGAGTGAGACCCAGAACTTCGATCCAGCACTCTGGGAGCCCTTCTCCAAGAATGTTTTTAATCTTGACGCTAGTGACTTCTTTCCCCGATGTTCAGATGTCCAGACAGTTGGGTGCCTGGCGGTCAGTTCGGTCAATGCGTCAACATAATTAGCCGCAGAGCCAACTTGACTACAGGCCAAGCCTTCGGCTACAAAGGTTTTACTAAGTCGGCCAAGGTCTGCCTTGATCCTTCCTGGTCTTTTTTCAAGGCATACGATCAAGAGCTGGCAGGACAGCTGCCTCACAACGGCATCGTTAACAGAGACACTCTTCCAGACCTTATCCTGCTCGAAGAATTGATCGTAATCGTCCTGATACTTCTCAAGATCCGTAGGACTTAGTTTCTGTAAGAGACCTAGGACCAGCGCAAGACTACTTCCTAGGACTCGATAAGCTTTGGCCTCGGAATCATCGACGCTCGTAGATCGCTCGTCGCTAAGGGTTTCGGCGGTCTCCCTTATCGCACCAGACGCATAGTCTAGGATCTGCGGCTGGCATCGCTTCCAAAACTGGACTACTTTCTCTGGGCTTGTGAGAAAGGAAGATAGCCCTTCCGCAGCCGCGCGGGATACGACTTTGTCTCTGTCAAATGTTCCAGCAAGCCAAGAACCTACAATCTTAGGTACATGTCTCTCCGTACGCTTGCGACCGGATTTCATTAACTCATACTGCAATGTGTGAGAGAGTTCGCGGACGCGACGGGCATTTTCTATCGAGACGCGAGGATATAACTGGACCTATTATACACATTACTAACTAAGCAGGGTAGTATATTGATCTACGTGATTTGCACGCACCCAAGCCTCTAGAATAGACTCTTCTATGCCTCCATCTCGCTCATATGGATGAGCTTGAACATAGGTCACTAATTCCTCTAAGGCCTTTGCTTTAGTTGTAGCATCCTTCTTTTGCAAGTTCTTAAGAGATACGACAACATTGGCGTCAGATATAGAGGATAGATTGGGAGGTTCGGCCAGGTAGGATAGGTCGGCACCTCTAGAAGCAGTTGAGAAAGCGCTGAAGGTACTGGATCCGAAACTCGTAGATGTGTTACCGCCGGCGGCACGCGACTTGGCTGGTTTACGACTCATGGCAACAGGAGCAACCGTTTAGTTTTAGTTATTGAAGCCACGCAAGCTCTCTCATTCGCTACGTAACTTGTCGCTTGTTGCCAACCTGCACGCCGTTATGTGGAGAATTCCGTGCCCGGGTCCCTCAGTCTTGCGCGATGGGAGGTAAATGATAGTTGGTAGGGAGGTCACGATATAAAGAATGCGCTGTGATTAATAAAAGCTTCTATTGCTATCGTTTCCAGTAGATTGGCTTAGGATATTTTGACCCCACGGTGGGGTTTACGGTTTTTTTTTTGTGACGTCGCCTATCCGATGATTCTTATGTAAGTCATTGCGTACTATGTACCTCGTACTAACTAACGCATAGCACGTGCTCCCGTCCTTAAAGCAAATTGAGCCGAGTTTTCCCGCTTTCTATACATCAATGTATATTTAGACTAAGATTCTAGACACTACAAAGCGTCCAATGAAGTAAAATATAAGCAGCGGCTTCCAATAAAAGCAATCAAATATCACCTCGATATTGATATCTTAGTACGCCTACATATAAAAGCTTCCGAATAATTGAAGCTAGTATGTAGTATGGGACCTGCATGCACGAAATGGAATGTACAATACATACATAGTGCGTTAGCAGGTTAGGTACGGATTACTCGGATAAGACCAGGGGGGGAACGGTTTACCCCACGGGTGTCCCCACTGTCCTAATTGGGGCAACCCATGCCGCTTATGACAGTTTTATACAGTTTTAGCGTTCTTCTCCGCACTCCTACGAACTAAATCCTCCCGTTTCAACCCGTTCCCGGGTTCCCCGCTTCCGCAACCCTCCGCCTAGGTTAGAGGACAACTCCTCACATTCCCTTTCAAGTTTCAAGAGCCTCGGTGGGGATGGATAGGCAATCCAACTACACTCATCTTTCATAGCCGACCAAGTCGATGAGTTTGCTTTTGCTTCTATAGTCGACCTGTTGGCTTTGTGTAAGTGATACCCTTTCCTGATCGCCTTATCGCCTCAACTATTGTATTATCAAATATTGTATCAATCCTCTGGACAATGGCAACATCTCTCGTATCTTCAACATCGTAACTATCGCACACCCGCCATCGCTGCTGACGCGTGTGCTTCTGCAGCGGACGGTATATGATGCTCCCATTGCTTACGACTCAATCAATATGTTAACTCGCCCCGTTTGTCAACCGCCGCCCAAAGCGAGGTCTCTTCAGACCAGAGCTGCGGCCTGTGGTGCTCTACGACCTACTGGAAACTCACTATTAAGGGCCGGAACGAACCAGCAGATCCGCAGCTTTCGCTTTGGCATGTGGTCTTCCTACCTTGATCCCGAGCTCCAGAAAGAGATTCGACATCGCCAACGTGTGCTTAAGCATAAATGTGTCGCAGCACTTCATGAAAAGTTATCATGGGACCAGCGTTCTATCGATGGTTCCCCCAAAGTCATTTTAAAGCATATGCTTCGTAGGTATTGGAGTCCAACCGGGCCAAGATGCGGTTCGCGGTTTGTCGACCATGACGAATTGAACGATCGACGACAACAGAGTCGAGTAACTCCAGACACTGGAAATGTACGCATGAAAACACCATGGGGTCCTAATTCATATGCTTCCTGGATGAGTAATTACGGCGATTATATGCGATATTCGTCTACACGTTCGTGGAAGTCTCGACTAGATGAAGCGATGGATCATTGGGGTGACAAAGCCTCAAAACCCGCAGCCCAGGCGGACTCTCATGTGCACCCGCCAGAGTCGGCAGGCGCCGAACACAACCTAGCCAAGGAACAAGAACATGATTTTGGCGTATCGTCCAGCGAAGAATATACTATTGATCCGATTACGATGCGTAAAATCCCAAAGAGATTCGACGAACAAGCCATTGATACGACGTCATCCCCCACCAATTCCTTCAAATCATATAGGGCTCAGTTCTCTGCATTTGCACCACCCAAAGATGGAGAAAATCTAGGTCCTACCTATTCCGACGGCCCACCTTCTCCTATAGAGCTCAAAGAGTATGGTCAAATCAAAATTGACGAGATACCATCTCATGGTGCTAGTGGTGGTCACGACGGAATACAGGCGTTGGGTGACAACGTAGAGTCCCCCCGATATCCTGTGATTCAAAGCGAAGAGTACGCCCTAAACCGTCTCCCGCCCGAGGAGCCAGACGAGCAGTATGATGACTTTCATAGATACCAAGCATATCAGCGCGACGAACTTGACGAACGGGCCCCAGAACCAACTAAGAACTATGAAGATCTCGATAAGTACAAGACATACGGGGCTAAAGAGGCGGAAAATCCCAGTGCAGAAGCACCCCAGGTCTACGAAGACCTACACGAGTATAAGCCCTACATTCATAATGAAAATACAGAGACCGAAAAGCATACTGAACGTTATGATGACCTGGGTCAATATGGGCCATATAAATATCAAGAAGGTGCGGCAAGAGACATCCCATCCACTGAATATGATGATCTCCACAAGTATAAGCACTATAAAGAAGACAGTGTCAAGCCAGTGGATGACTCGGCACCCAAGTACGACGACTTGAATAAGTACGATACAAAAACCTTCCAAGACCCTGCACCGGAGGAGCAGCCTTTCCAACAATACGGAGACCTCGAGCAGTACAGAATTTTCAGGTCTCAAGAACTCGACAATGCGGTCACCCCAGAGCGAGACATTGTTGCAGAATCTCTCGAGGAATTCGACGCAAAAGCGCCAGAACCAACCTTAGATAAGAACCCAACATCAAGTATACTAGATGGGCTTCAAAAGCTTGGCCTCAACGACGCATCGCAGTTCTCGTCCGCACAAGAGGGTCATCAATCTCCAGCTACGGAAACTGAACCTCGGCCAAGTCAAACGGGATTGACTGGTAATTATCTCCGTGATTTCCCGGAAGACTTTTCGGGATCATGGAGTACCTCGGACGGAAAGACAGCGTATATTCAGGAGGCCGAGAAGCAATATTCAGATGAGCTTTCCGAGTCTACAAACTCCAAAAAGTTGGAGACGAGCTTGGAAAGGCAGCAGACTGAACCGAAGCTGGAAGCGGGTCCCAACCAGCCAGAGGTAAGGTCTACGAGACGCATGTTTGATCATTATAGAGCGCAGGCCGAAGTTGACCCGTACTCTAAAGAACCACAGGGATTGGAAACGTCGTATACCAGGGAATGTGACGGGGAACAAACACCATTAACCTTCGCCAAAACGTACGGTGGCGACTCGAGGGAAGCAGTGCTAGAATCCTTATCGGCGGAAGATGCTAGTCAAAGGATTCTTGACCTTAAGCCGCTATATTTCAGAGATCCCGAGGTCGACGGACGACCGCCAATTTCATCGTCCGAATCTGATACCATGCCCGAACCTAACCGAACTACCGAGCCGACAGTGTATAAGATTCTAGCCTATGACCCAACAATGCAAAAGATCAACATCGCCGAAACCACCTCAGTTGTACCTGATCAAGCATCTCCGTTGTCACCAGCAGAAGTTCTTCTCCGCCTATCAAACCCGACAAAATTTTTTCCGCACTTCACACCTTTGCAAGCCGAGGGCTTCGAGATCGTATCTGGCAATGGGGATGTGCTAGTCTTTCGTCAAGTTCGACCCCTCAAAGTAACAGGTCATGGGGGCGCGTCACCGGTTAACCCTATAGACATGATGGGGAAGCCAGCAGCCTTGCCAAATGCGGCCGCATTTGTTTCGCCTACGGGATTTGTGAATTATGATGTACCACAAGCTGAAGAGGAGGCCCAAGCGCCTGCTTTCCGTTCTAATATCGACGTTAGAAGAGAAGAGCCTGTATTTAGCGGGCCCAAATCAACAGCACGCGAGGAAGCACGGACTCATCCGAAGGATGGCGTTGGCAAACGAGTGCTGATAGGTGGTGCTTGGGTAGCCGGAATCTCGTACGCTCTTGGCGTCGTTAGCGAATATTTCATAACCGGCGGTACTGACGGTAGGGGGCCAACTAGCTTCTGATTCATCGTACGTTTGTGGGAGATTATTATCATGTCTTACGAGAAAGTCAAGGCGCGGGATGAACAACACGACATATTGGAGTATGGGGAGTTTGTATAGCATTTTGGTGGTGGGCGTGGGTGCTTGGTTTTGGAACTGGGTTTGGGTCTCTGAGGATGCTTCAAGGTATCAATAAGTATTCCAATCATTGTTAAACTCCTGCTTGGTTGTATAGTAGTTTTGTTCGGCGCGTGACTACCCCTTCTCCGTTATGTATACTTTAACCAGCGCTCCCTAAGTCGGGTCTGGCGTTACCTCTTCAGTCTACAAGTATTTCATATATCAAATCGACACGCACAAATCATGATACTCCAGGTGACTGGATGGTATGTATTAAGAGTTTCTAGACCGAGGTTCCCGAAGCTTCTGAGCTGAAAATAGACAAATATAGACAAGCCTATGTATTAGACGGTACTGCCCAATGAGAGACCATCAGACGGCACGGCTTAGCTATGCAGACTGCATCTGCTAAGTTAGTGAAGAGATACATATTAGGTAAATATTAGGTATAATTGATATGTAATAGGTACAATCGTCTACCGAAGTACCTAACCTAGGCGTGTAGGGGAAGCCCCAATACATATGTTGGGGTCATGCTGCCTTTTCAATCTTGTTTTTCAACCCTCTGTACCGTTTCCCCGTTCCCCCCCCCGTCCAATTGATCATACTGAATCATTTTGCCCCTTATAAAATCCGGAACTCCCGCATAAAACTAACCCGTATATTCCCCATCGTCCGCCAAACAATTCAATCCAGCAGTAACTGCTAATCGAAAGCAATCATGTTGTTCTTCCCAACCCGTAAAATGTTATGAGTGGTGAATTGTTTGAAGTAGTAGCGCATTAGGTTATATAGACAAATTTACTTGCGCTCACTGAACCCCGGGCCCACCTCGACATTCTGTACGCCGCTCATCTGCAGTATGTGCTTCCGGTCCTCCCTGTGGTACTAGAGTTTGTAAAAAGAAGATCAAGTTAGCAACAATTCATTCTACGTCCACGTCTGCATTGCAAGGGATGTAACAAAAGAAGAAAGGGATGTAGGTATGTGCACTTACACTCTGCTTGCGTCCTAAGGACGGCTCCCAGCTGTCGGTCCTGCTTATTGCGCGCGCAGCCTCCTTTTCGTGCTGCGGGCTAGTGGGACCTCGTGCTACTGTAGATAAGTTGGCGATGTCAACGCGAATGTTTTGTAGTTGAGTAGGCATGTTGTAATAGGATAAGTCATTATCTGTGATGACGTGTGTTACTTGGTTAATAATTCTCAAAGTAAAAATAAAAGTATTTTGTAATATTGAATATTGTATTAGATAGGTGAAGATATAGTAGTTAAAGGGCAATGGAACTTGGATATCTTATATAGAGAATGCTACGGACTATAGCATATAACCTGGAATATTTGTTCGAAAGGATGGGCAGTCTAGACCGCGATGAAGCATACGACTATGCAGCGCTGATCACCAGTTTGCTGTCTGCTGGAGACAGCCTCAGCGAAGCATTGGTAGACTCGTCAAATGCTAATGCAGCCGTTGATACCTAACGGGTTGTATGGGCGGCGAAAGTGGAAACGACTAAACAAGCTTAAACAAGACTGCGGGGTAGCTTCTAGCTGATAAGGCCTTATCTTGGTGGCAATTGTACAAAATCGACCTCTCTGCTTCTTCAATTCTCTCTGCCCCGCTAAATTTATCGTCATAATAGTCTCAAACAGTATCCAACTTTACATTACATCACTAAGACAGTTAAACTTTTGATTACAGTACTGCAAAGGCCACTCACTCAACTACCGTACGTAGGTGAGATATTTACAAGTAGGGAAGACCTAATCGAATCGAAAAAAAATACCGTTTCTCCATTGCCTCCTTATGTACACAGGTAATGAGTGTCCGCAGCTTGTGCAATCTCAAACCTCTCCCCCTCCCAACCGTATATCTTAACCAGCGAGGTGCCGTCGGTGACTCGTCACGTCATCCTAATCGCATCTTCCTCATATACCACTATGGACCAGTGTAGCGGGATATCATCGAAACGTCCTGGAACTCCAATCAAAAAATCATAAAAAAATGAGCCATCCAACGCCACCAGCTATGCACGGGGGGGTGGCAACGATGCTGATGCAATCGCCAACGCCAATAACAAACAGTGAAAAGGGAACACGAAGTTCCATATTATCCATGAAAAGGGCACTCTTCAGTGATATAAAGCTCTGAATAAACCTAAAGGAACCGAGCACAGATCGAAACAGCCTGCTGCTCGGGCGTCTAGGAAGCCTTAGGCGGCTTCCAATAGTATTGCTAAACACGGTTAGTACTTGTAGCCTAATGTTATAGGATTTCATCAGATAGTTACCTTGTGCTGCTTCCGACAACCTCTCAAACCTGGTTTTCGCAAGCCTTGGGTCACGGCAATCCGTCGCGAATCGTCATCATCATGGTCGGGGTCATAATAATATTGGCTCTCGAGCGGCTGTCCAGCCGCGTCCTTTCCCTGGCGAGGAATAACGCCAATGCAAGGCGTTGACTCGATGATTTCACGCAGTGCAGCCTTGGTCAGGTCCCTTTTCTCTTCAGCAGGAAGGAGACTTAGTATAGTAGACAAGGGGGTGGATGATAATCGAGAGTAGGCAAGCTGATTGACGACGTGATTTTTGACAACCCCTACATTAACACGACTGCTAACGGTGGCTTTCTCTTCCGGCTCCGATGACGGTTTAGCTGTTGTATCACCTGATAAAACATGGGACGACTGTTTTGGTGATTCTGCCGTGAATGCAGCCAGACGATTGGAAAGGTTAGCTCCGAACGGACCAAAGGAGTGTACAACAGGATCGTTCTCCTCATCAGGGTCATCGTCATCAGGATCACTAAGATCACTGGAGAAACTGTTGGCGACTTCTGTCTGGGTAAACGACACATCCACTTCGGATGCCTGCTTAGGGAGCTCTTGCTCGTCTGAACTCGCATCCTCATATATCTGGACAGGCTCGCTTGTATCCTCGGCTAGTAGCAGTGTGTCTAAGTTGCTAGAAGAATTATGTGGAGAAGGCGATTCAGGGGATCTGATACGTGTCTGTCGTCGAAGGGGACTCGACTGCAGGAAGTCCGAACTGGAGTCATTACGACGATGTCTAGAGCATGGCGACTCCTCCCAAGATGAGTCTGATAAGGCTGCGATGGGTTCATGCCGATTCTTCTTAGGCCAATGCAACATAACCCTCGCGTCTTGTACATCTAGCATAATCTCAGCGTTTTCAGTTTCAGAGGTAAAGGTATCCCCTTTTCCCAACTCCCAAGTTCGCCCCTGACAATGAAGTTTTATTCCATTCCAGCCATTGCAAATGATCTCCACTCTGTTTGGCTCTAAGGGGTCTGCAGCCGGGACATATCGTGCCTTGACGTGGATACGGGATATGAGACGATTGGCCGACAATTGGTAATGAGAAGAATTACTCGACCGACCCATCAGAAGCGAATCTCCATTCTCGTTAAGTTCGATAGATCGTACGGCAGACAGCGGTGTTCGTTCTGATACAGATTCCGCACGCTCGAGTCCAGGTCTAGAGGACGATACGCGAGGGGGAGATGATGAGAGTATACCGGTACTAGAGGTTGGAATTGGCGTGGGATATTTGAAGAACGGGTTCAAGTCGACGAGCTTATCCCGGGCCAGTCTCTTCATAGGCCTTGGAAAGCCAGGCGAAGACGAGAGGGGCTCGAATGGTGGGAGCAAAGAAGGTGCAGGACGTTTCTTGCTGGGCGAGATAGAGGCAGACGCAGGGGGGAGCGTGGGCTCCTCTGCTGTGGCTCGATCCGCTCGATCCATAATCTTGACGGGTGAGGATGTCATGATAAAAGGTCAAGAATGCATGGCAAGAGAAATAAAATAGCGGAACTGTAATGATGGAATGAATGTGGTGAAAGATAAAAGTCGGATTGGATAAGGAAGGGGGTTAAGGGATTTGAGATTTGAGATTTGAGATTTGGGAGAAGAAAATTGACTGTGCTGTATCACGGTACGCCCTGCCAAAAAGATGTGGGTTCTCTGCGCGTCTTAAAGATGGAACTTGGAGTCGCGGTGCGCGTTCACTACACGCTCTTTTTTTAGCTGGGTTTTCCCCCCTCTCCACTTAACTTACATAGTAAAATCCACTTACACAAGATCCAACCCGGCTCCGTGTCCGAGCTCTGCACCGTGCCCTTCCTTTTCTCCGCTGACGAATTGTGATTGACAATGAATTGATATAGATAGTAGAGAATTACAATTTAAAGAATCTTTTTTTTAATAAGTTTTCGTCTGATCAAGGACCGAAATCTAGACCGGGTCGCTTGGCTTGGCCTGGTGAAGAGAGACCGATCTAATGGAAGGTTGAAGTGAGCAGAGTTTCATGGCTGGGGGAAGACCCAAGCATTTTTTTTACACTTTTAATTGTTCTTTAAGGAATTTTGACGTGTGGGGATCCACTCTAGCGTGATTGCTTTACCTTCTGTACATAGGTACCTAACCTAGGTATGTAGATTAGGTATGTTGAGTACAAGTACTAACCTAGCTGATTAGCCCGTAGGCGCTCGACGCGGTTTCTCCTCATTACTAAACTACCTGCAAGTCGCGGTTGCCTCATCAATTACATTTAACTTGCTGCTGCGTGTTTTAGCCGTCAAGTGTTCAACCGACCTCTCAGGGCCGGGCTGGGCTAGCCGACCTCCGTGATTACTGCATCGTCAGCAGGTTTCGGGTGTAGGCGTCCTAGGCGTCCTAGCACGGACACCTCACTGCTGCATGAATGCTGTAATTACGAATGCATATAGTGTTGGATAGATTCGTGTAAGTACATCAGCGTATATCCAGCGGAAAGAATAATTATATATAAGTGGTAGGCGTGTAATGTGGCTTAGATTAGATATTGAATGACGTCTAGCGAGGATAACCTCGTGCTAAGTAAAATGCGCCTTATTCCTAACAGCGAGCTCGCAACATACATTGGGTACCTACCTAGGTAAATGCTTTTGCAATGGTTATTCAAATCGGGTCACCAATTGCAGCAGCAGGTTTATCTGACCATACTCGAGTTCTCTTGTTCACAATTGGCCAACTTCATCTCACTGCATGGCTTGTATCTTGATCTTATGTATTTTGATCTTATTCTAGGTATGTATTCTATGTTGGCCATGAATGACTTGGCGTGAAACTAGGTAAATTGAGAGGAACCGTCTCACAGCTAGCTAGGTAGCTTGCTTGGTATTATCAACAGACATGTTTGAAATCCAGCAGATCCACAAGACAGCATTGCCTTTGACAAAATATATATAATTCTCCACTCGAGATGGGAAATCTTTGCCTGCTTGCTTGTCGACTCAAATATATATATATATAGTTGATATCATATATGTATGTCTTAGGTCTCGCGTATCATCCCAGCCTCCCCCTCCCTTCTTCGCCTAGAAGCAAGGCGCGTCTCCACCGTCTCTCCACTGCTGCGGCCGAAAATTCCTTCAAGCTTCTTTATTCTTTATTCTTTATAATTACCTATGTAATTTGGCCGATGTCTCGAAGACTCTGCTTCAATACGAGACAAAATAAATTGTAAGGCGTCTTGAAATATAACATGTATAAAAAATGCGCCGGGTATCTTCCTATGCGAAATATTCAATATCGAGTAGGCGAACTGTTAGAAAAAGGTCGTGATGAAAATCAGGAAAAGAGCCGTAAAGCGAAATTCGATATGCTCGGAACGCCCATGTCAAGATATATAATCGGTTGTTGCATCACCATGCCGCCCTACTAATCCTTTTGACGTCTGCTTGGTCTTTTCTCAGCAACTCGGTATATTCCACTCTTCTTCGAATAAGGAAAGCGAGAGATAGCATGAAGTCAGTCTCGTATTTCGTAGAAGTTATGTGCATTAGGGGCTTGATAAGGACACTGGCTAGTCGTTCAGCTGTCATGTCGTTTTTCTCTTCTGCTTGTGCAATATCAGCCCACAAGTTAAGAAGCAACTTGAACAGAGTACGGCTTGGTCCGCGGAGACCGCCGAGTGCTTCCTCCCAGAAATCAATACATTGATCAAGCCGGGTACCATGAGATCCCGAGAGCATTGCCTGTCTCGAGAGTGCGATCCACTGTTTAGCTATATGCTCTGCAATCAGCGGTTTCGGGAGTTGCGACAGGAAGAGTAGGATAAGGTCCGCGGCATCGTATACGCCAAAATTGGTCCAGTTGACATCTTCGCCGTATGTCGGACCACTGCTGAAGATGTCCTTTAACTTCTCTACTCTATAGCTATCACCTGGCTCGGCGAAGATATCTGGAGCTTCAACTCCTTCGTTCTTCAAAAAGAAGCAGCACTTTTGCATACACAGAGGGAAATCTCTTCGCGATGACCCTCCATGGCCCGAGTGGTGAGTCTTAGAGGTTCCTTTAGCAACCTGCATGCTTTTCTGGATCGAGACGCCGAAGACCGCGCTGGGCGTTGTATCTTCGGACTCATTCATGATCAGTTCTGAGCTCCACATCGGCAGCTTTCTAAAAGATACTGATAATCTATGACTGCCTCTTCTAACAAGGCTAGCTTGGATGATTGGAGTTGCGGGTTGCATATCCGTGGCGTCAGTCGAAGTCGTTGATCGTGTTTGAGGTCTGGCCTCTGAAATTGAATGCTTAAAAGGCGTAAAAAATTTCCCAAACCCCCTGGCTTTCGTCATGCAGGACGCCGACTCCGCTGGCGGTCCTTGAGCAACGACCTCAGCAACGACGCCGTAAGAATTATTCGGATAACCCGGAGTGGCCTCGAGTGGGGACACCATGAGACTTCGGGCAAGCTCGCGTCTCTTGCTATCCTTTGGCGGCGGAGTCGGTGGTCGGCTGGGAATGCCCACGAAGCTGGCCATCAATTCTTCAACAGTAGGAATTTTCTCATCTTCAGGGTATACTTGCGCATTGTTGCGTGATTTAGATGCCGGCGGAACGCTGACATCGATCGCGCTGTCCGGCTTGTCTCCGATGTAAGCTCCGAATAGTTTTTGGTCGCCCATAAATGCACCCTGGTCCGTCGTTTCGTCGACTTCTTTGATGCTCTGCTCAACTTCATGCTCGTTCTCCTTAACACTGATGATCTTCTCCGCGTATGACTTCAGACAGGTCATATAGTCATAAAGACTGAATTCTGTCTCGTTCTTCCCAAACTCCCCTGGCAGTCGCATCCGTAATTGGTTCATCTCGACTAGAACTCGTGAGACATCCTCCATAACGGCGGCGCTGTTCTGGTGTCTCTCTATCGTATTTCGCCTATTAGGCTCTATGTCTGAGGTAACATCCCGAATTGTGGTTCTGTCAATCCTTATTAGATACGCATTTACTTATGAGATGCGTTATACTCACGCCCCGGCTAAATCCAAGGCTAGACCTAGGACAGCTTTATGTGCCTCTAAAGCAGTTCGGAATCTTGCAACTTCTTGTCTCCCAGTAGCCAGCCACTGTGATCTTTTATCTTGCCGCGATAGCTCATTGCTGTTAAGGCTGGATATGCTCGTGTCTAGTTCGTTGACCAGTTTAGAGCAATGTTCGAGGACAGCAGGAATTCGTTCTGCCAACTCGGGAGGGAATAAACCAGCATCCTCGTTTAGAAGGTCTAAGACACTTTGCAGCGAGTGCAACTCGCGCGATACTCCATCTACATCGGATCGCGCCTCTCGTACCTCGCGCACGAATCCATTTAGTATAGTGTTAGCTGTGATAATCGTATTACTAAGTGTAATACAGTCGGGCGCGATAGATCTTTGAATCATCCAGGTCAGTGTTTCTGATGCTTGAAAAAAGTGATCAGTAGAACTTTGATGGGAGAACACCCACTGTGACTCCATTGTAGTGTTGACCTGCCGTCATCCACAGATTCAATATTCTTTCCCTCCAAAGGCGCAAGGCGTCGGCCACATATATTTATTGCTCACGATAAAGAGGTGACAATCGGGAATAGCGGTAAGGTGGGGATTCGAAGGATGGCTTCAAAAGTTTGGTTCACATGAACGGACGAAACCTCTAATAAGGAGCAAGCCTGTCGTCACCGACACAACTGGAAACACCCCAAGCCGACAAGGGCTCTTTTTTGCCTTTAGGATGAGCTTTAGATTACGGGCGAGGATCCACACGGGTTACTGTCGTCGGTCGAATACATATATGTAAATAAAGAAGTTCAAATGCAGAAGCTCGTAAGGTACCACTCTCTTACTTGTATGTATGTGTGTATGCATGTATGCCTCCTTTCGCAAGGTCAGCAAAATAGGTCTCACACTGATCATTTAGCGGAGTTAGCTTTCTGCTCTGCTTGCGTAATACTATGCTCGAGATGGTCGATTTCCCGTCGACCTACCTATATGAAATCTGTCTAGAGAAGCTAGCATGGTCTACCCCGGCACTGCCAATCTCCTCTTTTGTAACGTCCCCTTGTTTCTTGGCCAACTTCCCCGCCTACACGTGCATATTCTGTCTACACCAGGGCACCATCTTATTTGTACCTGTGAGCAATCGATCATATGTACCTTCATCGTGAAAAGGGCGGAAAGGGTCAGCAGGGGTATCCCTTGCTTACTATAGTACATCGTCCAAACAAGCTCGTATGAGCTACTATACTTTCGATTAGGTACAAGCTCGCAAGGCCCAATCAACTCGCTAACCAACATTCACTAGACGATTAAGCTTAAAGTCGCACTGCAGCGTACACTTGCAGCATGTTTCTTGGTCGACAAGTTGTTAAGTCTGATCTAGGGGAAAGGCACAACACCTCCAATGCTGCCAGATAGAGTACATTGGAACGTAGGCTGCGTGGGTGGCTTTGCTTGCCGTTGGCGTTCCTCTCTAAAACCCTGCGATCTTGTTTGATGAGCTAGCTAATCTTTTCGAAATTTGTGGTGGGTTGACAACTGTCAACGTCACTTATCTCTAGCATCGATCGGATGCTATCTCAAAAAGGGGACAACCCGAACACTAGAGCTTTCTAGTCTGTCAGCCCGCAAGCATAGATATTTCGGTTCCATACCTAAGTACCCATAGCACTATTAAGCCGCGATCACAAGACGACGAATCTAACACATACTACTACAGGGGTCTAGATACATAGTCCGGAGCTCCCAGGTCAACTTAGAACTAACTCCCCTAAAGATGTGGGCAATGGTCCGATACTTGGAGAAACTATTGCTGCCAGCGAGGGAACGTATGCAATGCGGGACGCGGTACTTCGTCAGCTAAGCATCATGTACCCCTGCAGCCAGGTTCTGGATTTCAAAGCTCTCGTCGGCCGAGATTTTGTCTGTCAGTCCTGCCAGAATTAGGAAATGGGTTAAAAAAAATAGCTAAGAAAGGATTCCAATACATGTTCCTAAGACTTACCAAATAGACACATCGAAACTTCGAGGCTTATTCCATTATTTTAATACCCCTAACAATTTCTACAGCAGCTAGGATAGCTAATGTTGGGAGATACTTAAATACGATGTTCTACCCATCAATCAAGCCTCTCATCCGGCTTGGCAAAGATATGCCGCTTCGACCCTAGCTATCTGTTTTATATCGTATTACATAGCGTTTGCTGTTGCTCAATACGAATACAATACGAATACTATTATACATGCGTTTAGGTAACGCCAACCAAGAAATCCTTTAAGTTGGTCAGTATTTTATGTATAATATTATCAACTGTGAATTTTACCGCGATGTTGTGGCACGATAGCTTAAAAACCTATGTTATTAACTGTACGTCTATTTCTAGCACTCGTCCTGCCTTTTGTGGCAGCCGGGAAAATATGGCGAAGGATTAACATTTCCAACATAGCGTACGTAAGATTCCAAAAAGCAGGGGGTAATGGTTATAATTGTCCAATTTCGTCGATTTTGTATCCTGGCTTTTATTTCATTTTATATGGCCTTCTTTTAAATCCTTAAGGACCTATTCAATACGGAAATCTACTTCCTTCTAAGCAACGATGGATTTCTTGGGTTACTTCTTCAATCATCACCTGCGCCGTCCGTTCCGTCAGTTTGCGAGTGTGACTAACAGATTATCATCGTAATTAGCTTGATACGTGACACATTTTGCGATGTATTAAGATCAGGGTGTCATTCGGTCCACACCTCTTACTTTGTATTGGATGATGAGCGTAGATTAGTTTAACCTAGTTGAACATTAGGTAGATCAACGAGAAACTTGTGAAACTTGAAACTAAGGGCCAACGTTTCAACAGAGCGCTCAGGCCATGTTGACGATAAAGATCTTCCCTGTTATTTAGAGGTATTGCTCGGAATATTCTAACAAACTAACGGCATAAAGGAGAGAAAGCTGTAAAATTCTCCGAGTGACGTTTATTATCCTTGTTCGGTACTTGTTCTCGTTTCAAGCTAGGAATTATTCTAAATTCTTATGTAGCGGTGTATTAAGCTGTATTCCTACCTACATATCATCTCAACGTTGGATTTTTGAGACCTAAGATCTCGGAGAAGCGAACCAAGATTAATATGATGGTCTAGAATATCATGCACTTCTCAATTCAGCCAGCGTCCTTGTTTTGGTAAGTAATTTGAAGTTGGATTTGTATACCTACGTCTATGTCCGCCTTTACCCCAGATTTTCGAGTTTGTTTCATCGTTGTAGATCGTGTAGAATCAGACGATAGCAAAAGTCCGAGCGTTTTCCTTACACGTCATGATTAACGATGAGCCGGGAGAGCTGGCCATATGAAGAACTCTTAAACCTGAATTTAGTGAACAGTGCCCGACAACCGGAATCTCCTCCGTCTTCGGATGCGGCGGCCACTCATTGGCTAAGAATCAGGACAAGTCCGGGCACCCCAGATCACTGCTGCGTCGCTGCGGAATAAGATAGGTCTCCTCTAAAGGCAACTATTGCGGTGGAGACTGGGTTCTCACTTGAGCCAGAGCATTTCCATTCTATCAGATAATGAGATCGCAAATAATAAATATTTCTATTCAGTATTATAAGGGCTTTCCTTATCTGCATTGCGCTTACATTTTTGAATGGGCTTAACCTACATTTATACTTTAATGAATAATTATTCCCGGGTTGTTTTCGTATATAATTTTTAGGAATAGCAATTGTGTTTTAGATCTAACTCATATAGATTATTGACGACTTACAATATTATCATATATATATGAACGAGTATGTATCTTAAATGGAAGATAGTCGTATAGGGATGTTGTTGGCGGTAGTGCAAAGACTAAAATGGATTACTTAAGCCTCTTAAGTAAGAACTGGTAAATATTCCGATTAATGTAAACGGCCCAGACACTAGGTAGTTGATTGAATTAAGAGTATCTTGTTAACTGCACATTTTTAGTTGCTTATAAGCTAATGGTTAATGTCTTTGGTATTTAAGTAATAAATTGGTCGATGCTACTGTTGATAGTTAGCGTGGTGATAAATAACAACGGGGCTTAAATGAGATAATATTTTCATTGACTAAAATTTCATGTATAAGACTTGATCTTGCACATTGCGATTTCTCTAAGTTAACATCGACGATGCGATTTAACCTATGTACCTTGTAACCTTAGTAGTAATATCTGAAAAAGGATATCAGTTGGTAAAATTGAACTGATGAGGCGATTGGCTAGCGGAAGGCTTAGTTTGTACCTCTAGTTAGGTAATATACGGAATATACTTCAGTGGGTCCGGTTCAATGAATCAAAGCTTTCTTGCAGACGCTTGGTCCAATCTAGATTTTCTGGCCCCACGTCCCTGCAGCTAAAAAAAAAAAAAAATCGATTTGCGGCTTCACTTCAGCAAGTTTCACAAATAACATATTTCGTTTTATCAATCTCATTGTGCAGCATAATGGCCTCTTCAAAGACTGTTACTCTACGGAGCGAGACCGCGGTCTCTCTTGTAGATCCAAACCAGGTTTGTTCCTTTCTATTCCTTATACTCATACCTGATTTTAATCCTCCCTATCTAGAGTCTAAAAGCTTCCAAGGCGTTGCTGGCGCATATGAAGAAAGCATCTGAGGAAGCTGCCAGTTCCGAGAAAAGAAATCTCTTAGCCGACCCTGAAGAAGCCAGCAAAGAGGTACCAATATGGCTTACCCTGACTACAAAGCGACACATTGCCGACTCTCGACGCCTTAAACCAGGCAAGATCGTTGTTCCACACCCTCTAAACACTGACTCCGAGGCGACTATCTGCCTGATAACCGCGGAGCCCCAGCGCGCATACAAGAATCTGGTTGCCTCCGACGAGTTCCCTGCAGAGCTGCGAAAGCGCGTAACGCGAGTTATAGACGTATCCAAGCTGAAGGCGAAATTCAAGGCGTACGAAGCGCAGCGCAAGCTTTACAATGAGCATGATATTTTCCTCGGTGACACACGGATTATCAACAGATTACCGGGCATCTTAGGAAAGACCTTCTACGGGACGACAGCCAAGCGACCGATTCCCGTTGAAATACAGGCTCGCGTGCCGAAGAGCGACGGAAAGAGGGTGAAGCGCACAAAGGATGCAGAGAGCCCGAACACGGCTACTCCTATACAATTGGCAGGGGAAATAGAAAGGGCTGCTGGCGCGGCGCTTGTTAACCTGTCACCTACGGTTAATACCGCTATCCGTATCGGAAATGCCAGCTTGACCGCCGAGCAGATCGCGGAGAACGTCGAGGTGGTTGCGAAGAACCTAGTAGAGAAATTCGTACCAGGAAAGTGGAAGAATGTTCGAGGCATCTATATCAAGGGTCCTGAAACCGCTGCCCTACCTATCTGGCTGACGGACGAGTTGTGGCTCGACCAGAAGGACATTGTGGCTGACGGCTCAGAGGAGGCTAAGGCCATCCTTCCCTCAGAAAAGGCGAATATAGGGAAGAAGCGCAAGTCGCTCGAAGGACAGCCCGAGGAGACCGAGCCTGTAATGAAGAAGTCTAAGAAGACAAAGAAGTTACCTGAAAGCGATGATGCGAAGTTGGACAAGGAGATCGCAGACCGAAAAGCTGCGCTAAAGAAGCAAAAGAAAGCTGCGAAGAAGGCTTTAGAGGTTTAAAGTTATATATCAAGTCAATCACATGTATAAAAGTGACAATAGGAGTTGGGCTCTATTTGCATCTTAAGCTTTAAAGCACGATTTGACGGCGTATGGCGGAATAGGTATAAAAGCTTATAGCATGAACACTCGATTTATTTTATTTATTATTTTTTTTTTTTAAAAAAAACCCCCCGATACCCCCTGTGCCTAATCCTAACTCGTAGTTTATACACTGAACATACACGTGCTCAACAATTACAGCTCATCTGGTTCTTGGTCATCCTTCGGAGCGCTACTCTTGAAGGGACCGAAGAACTCGCTAAAAGTATCTTCCAGCACTTCATCCGATATTTGCATGTGTTCGCCTGGGGTAGTCTTGAACTTTAACCCTCCTTTCTTATCGAGAGCCCTCAGACCAATCCAATCTTCAGTATACAGTTTCCGAGCCCTCAGTGGCGTAACCTCAGTACCATTGACCTCTTCGAACCAGCTCGTCTCCTTCGGGATGACAGTTGTATCGTCTTCGAAGACATATAGTACAAAGTTCTCGAGATTCGCAATGTTCTTGGCGTAGGTCTCATTCTTCTTTTCCCGCTCGTTGTTGATGTCCGCTAGGAGGTTTGAGTACTCGAGGTAGTTATCTAAATCGTTGGGGTCGCGGAAGTACTGCGCAGGAACGAGCCGGCTCTGCACCCACGAGCTCCACGTATTTCCATGCAGCAACGCCATCGCGCCCTTACACAACCAATCAGCCGCCGAACAGGCTTTGTAGTCAACGATACCGTTATGCTGGCTTCCAAACGTGACGAGCGTCCGGACTGGTGGGAAGTTACAGCGCTCGACGTAGGCCCGTAGAAACTGGCCACCCTGGCTAAAGCCGATGGCGTCGATGGCGGGCGCAGTCGAGAGAATGGGGTGCGCGGCAAGATCGTCGCATACCTTTGCGATCTGCTCCGTCACGTTGCCGTAGAAGGTCGCAGTGCGGTCGTTGGATGGGCTCTCGTCGAGGCGTACGTAGTAGACGAATGTGCCTGGGTTGATCTTCTCGACTAGCCCGCCGACGGACTGTAAACCCTCGGCTGAGAAGGTATCGCCGAGGCCGTGCCAGATCACGACTGGTAGAGGCGTGTCATCTTCATCGTCGGCGATGGTGGAGATTGGATTAAGAGTCGTGGGGTTACCTAGGACAACACGGAGAGTAGATGTAAGAGTTAGGAACACTGGTAGCCTCTGTAATAGAGTCATGTTTTCGGTAGTAATGCGCATATATTGTGTGTATTATGGATGGCCTATGGATGACCGGATGTTGTGATTTTGATGATGTTCTGATGGAATTAGAATAAAGTAGGTATTTAGTAGAGATGGAAGTTGGATGTTGAATGCTGAAACTCGAGGAATGGAAGTGGCTGTGCCATAGTTGCAACTACTAATACCTATCAACCCAAGTAGGCTACCTGCTGACCTTAGGTGGTTACAGCCAAGCTTCCAAGGTTCTCATTGGCCAAAGCTTGTAAGTCAGTCATTCAGTACATCCTCAACTGACCTTAGGCTGCGAACTCATGCTGTACCTCATAGAATGACGATGGCTTCACATCTTAGTTCTTAGGGGCATTTTGATTGATCCATGGTAAATCAACCATGCCTCTAATTCTACTAAAGATATTTTGTACCCTTTAAAACAAGCAAGTCTCGCATTCAAGATCTCATTACTGGCAACACTTTGCCAGTTACATAGGTACTCACCATCGCTTACCACAAAATCATCAAGATCCTTTAGCCTTTCATGCAATTGAAGGGTTGCATTTTCCTTCAATCCTCTTTGAACATTCGTTTTCCTTCTGTTGCACTAGTTTTTGTTGAAGTTGTTAAGAAATGATGGAACCAATCAGGGATTTGTCAAAGCCGGCCAACGGAAATATGGACCGTGCCGATATGACTTCAGCACAGACCTCAGCACGGACCGAACCGGCTCTTCCTGTCACCCCACTCCGAGGGCGGTCAACAGAAAGAGTGGGGCGGATTAATTCTAAAGCCGATAAGAGCCAGGGTCCAGGTTCAAGCTTGAGCTTCAATCGCAGCGCATTTCGATGTATCAGCTCTCCAGAACCTCGTCCCCGTTACAACTACGTCGACAGTCCTCAAGCTGCAACGGCCACCACCTCCCACAGTTCATGGAACTCTTACGAACACCGTGCTTCCAGCTATACGGATATTGAATTTGATGTGCTAAATTCGCCCTCTCTTCCCAAGAATTTTGTTCTCTCGTCAGCTCTAGCCCAGAATACTGATCAAAGTACTACTCTGTTTCGCGGAAGTGGGCAGGACGATCCTTTTGTTTCGCCCAGAGCTCGTGGTTTTTCCCACATTGTTGATCGAAGAGAGGACCGTTTCGGCGAATCAGACGACCCGGATGATTTGTACGACTCTGACAATTCCGAAGATTCGGACGCTACGATCACACCCAGCTCGTACGCTGCCAGCGTAGCTTCCCACACCCGCAGCTATCAGCGACAGCGACAGCACCGTACCTTATTCAACGAATTAGGAGGGTCGACCTTTGCAAGCAAATCCAGCAGCACGAAGACTTTGGTATTGAGCACCACCGAAGAGATGGCACCGAATCATGTCGCAAAGAACGGGACCACTGAGTCTCGCACAGTTATTGCTGGCCCGCACTTAGGAACTATCAAAGTTGGCCACCAATATATCTGCGAGTGCCATATTCGCCGCATGTTTGTCGAGAAGAGACTGGATGCTGCTCGGGAGGCTAATTACCGCCTTCAAGGGGTTCAGGTGATCGAATCTACTCGGGAAGCACTTCTATTGTAAGTTACTGCGCTGCTTCGTCTATGAGATTTATGATATTAATCATCATTTGCTTTCAGACCAGTCAAAACCTATAATGCGGCATGTACTTTTTACCATCGCTTCCGCCTAGAACACCCTACTCATGATTACAATTACACCGATGCCGCTCTGGCGTCTCTATTTGTGGCTTGCAAGGTTGAGGACACACTGAAGAAGTCTCGCGAGGTTCTTTGTGCTCATCACAACCTTAAGAACCCAGACCATCCAACTACGCAAGACGACAAGGTAAGCGGTTTAATAATATGTTTATTTTATATATATAAGCTAAACGAGAAAAACCCAGATTTTTGATCAACCATCCAAAGTGATAATCGGTATTGAGCGATATATGGTTGAGGCCATCAATTTCGATTTCCGCGTCCGCTATCCTCAGAAGATTCTTGCCAAGATCGTAAAGAAAGTCCTCGGAAAGTCAGCCGACCTCACAAACTTCTTCCCGGCTGCTATGAAGATGTCTATTGACTTATACAAAACTTATGCACCTCTAAAGCACAGTTCATATACTTGTGCCCTTGTAGTCGCGCAACTTACTGCAATGATCACCGGTCAATTTGTGGACGAATTCCAAGTACTTGATCCGCTTGATTGGCACACGGACGAGCAGTGTGTAGCTGAGGTGATGCTCGATCTTCTGGATCTTTACACACAACATGGCAAGGTCACTAAAGTTGGGCCTATATTTGACCTACAAGTTTTTATCAACACTCAGATCAGCATCAACCAGTTTGTTGAGCGCGCTGGCCTCTTACGCTACCTGAACCAATGCAGAGAGTGCGAATCTATCGTGCTTCCCCCTACACCATCGACAGGTTCTCCTATGTCACTAAGCACACCTTCCGCCGCGGGAACCAGCACTGTTAAGCGTGGGCCTAAGGGACCTGAAGGGGGTACGACGCGATTCGTCTTTGACGCCGATGAAGCAGTACGTGAGAAGAAGGTCTATGACGAACATACCAAAGATGAGTGGGAAGAATGGGAAGAAGAAGTCGAGGAACCGATTCCGGACTCTCGCGAAGACCGACGTCATGAGCCCCGCGGCCCTAGGGGACCTCGTGGCCATGGCCATGGTCCTGGCCACGGACGTGGTCACGGCCGAGGCGGTTTCGACCCGGGCTGGACTCCTCGTAACCGACACGATCGTCGTCGTCGTGGGGGCGGTTTTTATTAATCCATCGTAGCAGGATCACTTCTCGATGGTTAGTTGTTTTTACGGAAAAGGGGGTTTTCGAACTACGCATATGGATCTGGAAAAGTTTTCAGGATGACAGCTTTGTTGGGCTGGTACGTGCATTATTGAACGGAGTATGGATTGATACCCCCTCTGAAATTTGTGTTGCGGTAGAGCATTTGCAATCGCCATATTCGGCGGCTCGTGTAATATAGGTGTTACGTTAGGTGTTGCTCTGGCTTTAGCTTTGTTGACTGTATAGAAGACCTAGGCAATGAACTGAGAGATGCCCGCGTACATGTCTTCCGAGAAGATAGCTTGCTAGCTCTAAAACCATATGCCTATATGGTTCCCAATAATCGCCCTCCATTTTTATAACCGATGCTTGATGGTAACTAATAACATGCCTTCTCTATCATTTACTTACTTTAATTCACTAGCCTATCTATTTACTAGGCACATATCTGAGATTAAATCACTTATCCTCCTACCCTTGTCCCTTTCCCAAAGCGCGACCTAGAAGAATATAAAGGGGAATAGGTAGAAGCTGTTATTTTAGCAAAGAGGCTCTTTAGGTATGATACAGTATTAACTACCTCCTAGGTAAAGTACCTAGGTCATTCATCTTCGGCCATTGAACTATACATTCAATTCTACCCAATTGTCCTCTGCTAAGCGTAAGAATGATATGCTTATCGTGGCAACCACGGCCAAGTAGCAGTTCAAGAGCCGTAGCGGCTTCACTATACTTAACTACATAGGTACATATGTAATTACTACTTGCTCTGTCTCATACCAGCATTTACCTGCCTCTTATTTGAACCCAGTGGAGTGCAACTGCTGCCTTCCTGCCCCGAATTAATACAAACTTCCATCCTAAGGCATAGGTACCTTCTGTTCTTCTTATAGTATTGGGTAAATAATACGTTCGGGCAATTCTAGAAGGTGATATCCTAATTGTAATAAACCTAAGATGACTCAGAGATCATCTCAACATCCTTTGCAATGGGCAGGAGCCGGTACTGGTACCATAACTTGAATATTAGCATGTGGTCCCAGCTTGGTGCTGTGCTAATAAAACCAAACAACTTCCTTCCTCTCTACAGAATTTTACCAAAGCTAAGTACTTAAAAGGGCACCTCCTCCTACCACCTATATTTAAACATCCAGGGTCACAAGCGAGTGGAGAGAAACAATCATGTTACACGAAGGGATATGAGCCTACCTATAGCTCTACCACTGACATAACCATAGTCTCTTTGCTATGGGTGCTTCAGTGGTACAGGGCCAGCCTTCCTTCTAACAAATTTTATTCTAATCACGTTGGTAACTTTTACCTCAACCTCCCCTGCCTTTCCCCGTCTAAATCCCCTCTAACCCACCCCATCCCGCTAGGTAAGCCGCCTCATTTCATATATTCGATGTCCCTAGACTTTCTCTATTCTCTAGTGTTACACATCACGTCATGGGGGCATATGGGAAGGAAGTCACTCACAAAACTTGCTCACACCTGACCTAAAGGTAGGAACAATGAAACCATTAACCAGGGTCTCGACAGACGGAGTCTCGACGACCGGGGCTCAACGAACGGACTCAACGAAAAAAAAAAAAAGCTAAACTACCTTATGCTTGGCATGAATCGCTAGCTATCGCTAGCTCTGCTTATGTAAGTAGCTTAGTATTAGAGCTAGTATAAGTTCTTCTCTTAATTGAGCTTGTTGACACTCATCTCAGAAGAGCCTACCATCTGGTAGCTCCATCTCCTATCCTTTATCCCATACTATTCAATGGCTACGTCCAAATCTTGACGAAGTCATCCTTGATACCGAAGCTTTTTCAGCCCATCCGGCAGAAAAGCCAACATTAGAAAGCTACAGCCCAATAGGCGTAGCATCTAACACAACACCAACCGCCCGCAAAACATCACCAAAGCATCATCTTCCAGAAACCACATATACACATATCCAAACCCTTACCCACAATTAACGCCGTTGGAAAGACAATCACTTAAAATCTTACAATGTGAGTTAGCCAACCTATTCACCAATCCTTCGTCATCCGAGTGCCTGTTGTCATACTACATTTGTAAACAACACCTCTAACAAGGCTTTGAAGTGTTTATCTCTTACTTAAGTCGAAAGTGGGACGGAGGAACGTGACTACCAATGTTAATGGGTCTATCATGTTCCTATCGAAGATATGGACAAGGGCAGAGACTTGCTTTCAGGCAACGAAACTTGGAGCTGGTTTACTTGTTTGTGCTTGTCAACAAAATATCACCAGACTTCACACAGCTTCACGCTCTTACGACTAAGAACTCGCCGTCCAGCTTTATAAAATAAATTGCAGGAGCTACACAACATTAACAATATTCAATATACATATTAAAAAGACCTCAACATGTCGTAAAACTGTCTTGATCAGAGTATACCAGAGTCTACAAAGCAGCCCACCAAGCAGCCCACCAAACACCCCTAATATAAGGACACTCTATCTCTATTACAGCTAGTGACCTGACTCACTGAAGAGAAGGTTCCTAGTTTCCTAGGTAAGAAGCAAATAATCCATTTCTCATCGTCACTGATGCTAACTTATCGCTGAAGGATATCTTAGGCAGCTGAGTAAATTTGGTGTCAAAATCCAGGCCAATATTAGGTCCCCTCCATAGGTAGGCTATTAGCTTTCTATATCACATAAGTCATCTGGGACTCAGCTTCACAACATCACGTGGGTCCTATGGCCTCTCCTGGAGAGTCTTTCAACACTGACTCATCGCCATAATACCCGATCATATGATAATAGTTAATAATCACAAGGAAGAGTTCCCTTGCTTATTGCCGGGCTACTCCGAGTGAAGATCACGGAAGATGTAAAGGCGGTCGGTCGGCAGTGCGAATGGAGGTAAGATATAACCCAATATTCTTTACATTTCTGATAGCAACTCCCGCTAACTTTATTTAGTAAGCACATGGACAAGCACGGCTGATCGTATAAGTACTTGTCATCGGGATGTGAGAAGCTTGCTAGATTTACGTATTCTGGCGGCCTCTTGCGTCCCGAGCGCAAGGCACATAACAAACACGACGAATTAAATAAGGATACCTATTTATATACACGTATCAACAATGGCTATACAATTAACTCCGAATGCATTGGCATTGACAACGATCAAAGAAGACACCCCGCAACTACCATCAGCACAACCACAAGCCCCAGTGACACCAGCCAGACAGGAAAGGGAGACGACATTTCCGAGAAGTACATGTCAAATACGATATTTTACAATTTTACGGGGCATAGGATAAGGGAGAATTAACGAGGAAGGGAATTGTTATGAGGAAGGGGGGAATCATAGTGTCCCCTTAAAAGTTCCTCGGAGCATAGGTGAGCGGAGTGATTACCTTTATTCGTACATAATTCTGAGTAAAATGCTAACTAGACTTAATCATTAGATTTCGCTATATACCGTGATCCAATCGAGGCTCTTCCATTGTATGCAGCCCCGTCCAGGGGTAACGACCTACTCTGCGTGATTGGCATTTCTTAAGCTAAGACTTGTCCCTTAAAACATCGTGGACGATGCCTCCCTAAGAAGATCGGATACAATAGGAGGCATAGTTATGCCCCCTTTTAAAAAGTCGCACCAAAACCTCTACCAGTACTAGCCCAAGCTCTGCAAACCGAACTTGCGCAAGCAGCAGAGTATATTTCGTCATCTTCTGATTCGGAGGAGAATCTAGACGCACCTATCGCCCCAAGCCCCGCCGCAACATCATTTCTAGACAAAGGAAAGAACACAATATCCAGACCCTCATTTGGATCCACTTTCGGATCATCTTCCATGACTAACGAGACATACGAAGAGGTGAAATTGCGAGTAAGAACTTTGAAAAGTCTAAAGAGGGGATAAGAAGACAGAATAACGAACCTAGAGAAAGAAGTCCTAATTGTCAGGGGGCAAGTGAGACTAGTATGAATTAGGCATAGATCTACATAGAGCACATATATAAGGGGGCGCGAAGCGCCCTCGAAAGAAGATAGAAGGTTAAGCGTTAATAGATTCATACTACTATACGGCTACTATACAGCAGCTTCGCTGCTGCTTCTAACATTCACTCTACGTATGACATCCATCAAGGGGTATCTCTGACACTAATCCTCAAGGACTTTCAGCATGAGAGCCAGAGGCAAGAAACTACGACCGAAAAAGAGTTATCAGACCTCACGAATAGCCTTACATTATAATAACTAAATGTATATACTAAATTAACTGTGGCTGTTGCAAGTGTGTATTTTAATGGCGGCTTTTGTAAAATTAGTTTACTAACAAAATGGGCATTGTTAAAATACTCATACATTAGGTAGCTATAGAAACAAGTTGTAAGAGGTTGCAATAAGCTTAACTATTATAATTACAAAGGATATACTAAGAACTTCCGTCGGAATTTATCTCCTTGGGTATGTATACAGAAATAGTGAGGTGTTTAGCCCGGGTAATAGGTAATTAGTTCTACCTGAGTAGTGGTATTATTCGTCGTAAATGTCCTAGGGCGAGGAAGCGAGTTTGAATCCTTGCCGTGGATATTATCGTGGCCTAAGTGTGGATATAAACGAAACACGTCGACGGTTTCGTAGGTATAGAATGATCGAAAAACATGATAATAGTAGCCATGGTGGCTACTGCGTAGGCCTGTAATTTTTAGCCCTGCCCGACAGTTTGTGGGCACATAAGGTATGTTCGCGTGATACTATTCCAGTCACGGCGTTCTACCTCGGACAAACGCGTAGATGATGTTGTAAAACAAATGTGAAAACAAACACAACGCCTAAACCAAAGCCGTCGATTAGACGTTGGCCATCCTTCCTCTCTCCAGTTGTAAGTGGTATATAAATCCCAATAAAAATACAAAGATTTCGTCGAAGCCGCGCTCGGGTGGTATTTAGACTGCAAAATCTCATGAGGTCTCTAAATCGGACTCGGGTATCGTATCGCTAATCGGGGAAACCATTCGCGACCCAAGCCTCGAATCACTGCTCGGGGAAACCATCCGTGATCCAAACCTTGAATCGCCCCGGTCTGAATCTGACTCGACGTAGCTGTCTGTATGCGGAGACGGAATGAGCGGCGAAAAAGAAGCCGCGTGAGGACATCGTCCTTGTCCAACAGTCGATCGGTGCGTGTGGAACGAGCATTGTCGAAACCCGAACTGACGCTCTTCGCCGCGAAAGTTGTTGGAAGGAAGTCTGAGCTGGGGATTCTTGAATTGGCCCTCGAGCCCGGATTGCGCCATTTTGCGCGTGTGGTTGTTGTATTCGGCCCAGAAGTCTGGACATTGCTCGAAGAGGCGTTGGATGCTATTCGACATTTCGGTCGTAACTACGCCCCCGAGTGTCCACGCCGTCATAGCTACGATCCACTTTCGTAGTCGGCAGCTCTCTTGAGGGTCACATGAGGTATAAATAAATCTGATTAGTCTTGTGCTGATATCCCAGTTCCTCCGAAGGTAGACGTCTTGAATAGCGTCCATAGCACAATCTTGTAAGGCGGGAATATTTATCTGGGCGGCGAATATGTGTAGTTGGACTAAGCTGTTGTGAAGCTCCTGACAGGAGCGATCGGTCTCAGCGGCGTCGATGAACTTGTCGAAGTTTTTCCGTTCGTTCAGCCAATATACGAATAACTCGAACATGGGTGGTTCTTGATCTTCCAAGACGACGACGATGTGAGCCTGCCCTTTTTCGAACTCAACACGCGCGTTGTCTATGTGCTGCCGGAAGTAGTTGCATGATGCCAGGAGTTTTCTTAGAACAAGAAATTCCTGGCCATCCGAGCCAACGAGTATCTTGACGGTGGCTGGACCGGCAAGTCTAAACGAGGAGAGGTAAGTTAACTTATTACATTCTCTCGCCCACTTATACAGGTAAATCTTTTGTAACTTACGAATTCAGAGAAGCAGCCGAAGCTTTTCGATCGACAAATCTTCCTCTCAGCATGTTAAAAAAAAATTCTTTCGAGGTTGTCGACTTAGTACCTAACACACAAGATACGATAGAGCGAATGACAGTATCACGTCAACATGCAGAAAGAGAAAAAAGCAATCCAGCTTGGACACTTGCTAAACTAATCGAAGCTGAATAGCGGCTGAAATAGGCTAACTTTGGTACGGATGAGCCTCGATCCGATAAACATCTTGGCAGGGCCCCGAGGCGTTGGATGGTTCCTCAGAAGTCCCCAGTAGTGGAGCATAGACTCTTCGCTAACAGCTTCAGTACTAGTATGAGAACATCTCGCATTTTGCTAGTTGTACTGTATTGAGTGTCTGAACTTGTTGCATCATAGCGACACTGCAGTATCACGGCACGAAACGCGGATGGGAAGTATTCGTCCCATGTTAAGCCCTGTAACGGGGAAGGGGGGAGAACAAGGGGGTACTAGCAGCGATTTGCGACACGATCGCCGGTGGATTCGGGGACGGCGGGTCTGAGTGGCTGCTTCAGGTTCGACCCCTGATGCGGGATGATGACCAGGATGGCTAGGATGGAGTTCCTACACGTGTGGTTCTAATTCGGGTTGGATGACCGACCCCGTATTGTACTTGTCTCGAACTACAACTACATACCGTTAGCACCTCACGGCGAAGGAGAAACTGACGATGGCTATGCTCTGTCAACAAGCGTGTTCCCAAGACATTCTAGAAAAACCTGCGACTCTTCCGAGAGCATAGCCTCTCTATTAACTGGCGTCCTAGGCGTTGTTTAATATGCAGGTTCGTCCGTACTTGAAGTAGACGGCCGCAGTTAGTTAGATATCTATCCGCATCTAGACGGGCTTATGACAAATCGAGATCCGGTCTCCTCTTACCCCTACTTCCTGACATTTGTCTTGCATGCTCTAGACCTCTGCGCGTCTCCGAGTGACTTGACAATATATATATCGTGAAGTAAGTACGACGATAGATCAAAGAGGCTAATATTGATGCTAGAAACGTCTAGGTAGACTACCACCAAAAGATGATTTATACGAGAGGAGCCGAAGGAGGCATGTTGCATCCTTTAATATTACTCGGCATTAAAGAAGGGCGGCAAGATGGTAATGAGTAGCGGAAACTACCGCAGCAGACTAATGGAGAATTCTTCAAGTCTGGCACGCCACGAGATAATAGTAATAAATAGTAACCATGTAACCCAGTCTGGTAGTGTACATAAGTGTAGTATGCGTATGTGGTGGGTATCTATACATAGTGGATACGATCTCTGACTTGGGATCTTGGAAGTTGTTTAGAAGATATTTCGGCGACTATTGCGATTGGAGAGAAGACTTTTTAGAAGTGGCGCACGTCCATGCCTTCCATTTACTTACCTATTAAAATATCCGCTATGCAACCGCAACTGTAACACAAGTTTAGGTAGTTAGGTACCTGACGTCATTAATCCCACTATATTCCGCTATTTGACTCAGTTCGGATAATTAAGAGCGGCCCTTTCCTTACACTACCTAGCTGTTGCCTCTTGGCTGCTTAGACATTTTCGTGTTACTAATATCATTGTTATTAATGCTAGTTAGTTATAATTATTCAGCAATTCGGAATAGCACTATCCTCTAGTACCATACCACCTATACGAAACTGCGGTTAGTTTCTAAATGTCTCAATTAGACGGCTATTCTTTCTCCCCTTTCTTCTACACAATTCGAAATGCAAGATTGGACATGATAGATGAGGGTCCCCCATTATTCGTGGCTCCAGGCCCATGGTAACATAAGGTACATATATAAAATAACTTCCTTCTAAAATAACAACAACCCAAATTATCGAAAAGCCGGTAACATCCATACTATCTTACTTTCCTTTCGGCCCTCATTGAACCGAGTTTGTAACACTCCTTTATCATCTCCGCAAAACACGCCAAGATTATTTTCGATCCTCTTTTGGAATCTGACTGCATACACTCTATTACATCGAAAATCCTAGCTGATCCTTCCGAGTCGTATATCATGTCGTCCACATTTCACAAGCCAGCCCCTAATGTCCCCTACTGGACGCCGGCCCAAGACCCTCCTGCCGGATCGGCCCTGGACCCGGCCTCAGCCCCGACCCTGTTTAAGCCGATAAAGATCCGGGGCGTGGAATTGCAAAATCGATTCGTTGTCGCCCCAATGTGTCAATATAGTGCTGACGACGGACACGCTTCTGATTGGCACTTTGCTCATCTGTCTCAGTTCATGATTCATGGCACTCCCCTGACTATCATCGAGGCCACCAGTGTTACCTTTAACGGCCGTATCAGCCCCGACGATCTCGGTCTTTGGAAAGACAGCCAGATCGCCGGTCTAAAGCGTATCGCGGACTTTGCTCACTCCCAGGGTCAGAAGCTTGGTATCCAGCTCGCCCACGCTGGCCGCAAGGCCAGCACCCTAGCTCCTTGGCTTGTCACCGATGGTTCTGTAGGCGCCCTCGCCTCCCCTGAAGAGGGCGGGTGGGGTGACAACATATGGGGGCCCAGCCCCATCAAGTACACCAACAACTTTCCGGACCCCAAGGCCATGACTATCGAGGACATCAAGACCCTTGTGCAAGCCTTCAAGGACGCGGCCAGAAGATCCGTCGAGGCCGGTATCGACGTCATCGAGATTCATGCCGCCCATGGGTATCTCATAACAGAGTTTCTCTCGCCGCTCACCAACAAGCGGACGGATAACTATGGCGGCAGCTTTGAAAACCGCACTCGCCTACTCTTCGAGATTATCGAGGCCATTCGTAGCGTTATCCCCGAGACCATGCCCTTGTTCGTGCGCATTTCAGCAACCGAGTGGATGGAGTGGTCTGACGAGCCCAGCTGGAACCTTGAGCAAAGCGTTCGCCTCGCTAAGCTCCTCCCTGCTGTCGGTGTCGACCTACTCGACGTTAGCTCGGGAGGTAACAGCGATATGTCGAAGGTCAACATACACCCGTACTACCAGATCGACCTTGCGGGCAAGATTCGCGAGGCCATCAAGAAGGAAAATCTAAATCTCCTTATCGGTGCTGTCGGACTAATCACAACCGCCGAAATGGCGCGCTCAATTGTACAGGAGGGCAAGTCGTTGACTCAGGGTGCTACAGCGCACGACAGCGCCGAGGTCGGCGAGGAGGCAGGACAGATTACGCAGGCGGATATTGTGCTAGTCGCCCGGCAATACCTACGCGAGCCAGAGTTCACTCTACGTGTCGCACATGAGTTGGGTGTGGAGGTGAAATGGCCTATCCAGTACTCTAGGGCACAATGGCAAAAGGGCCAGAAGATCTAGACGAAGAGGCAATGGGTTATGATATATTACTGCTTATGAACGACAGCACGGCGCATCATATAGATTGAGCATAGTAAGACGTATCCACCGTCTTGACAGATGAAATAAAGTTAAATTTCCAACTATTATACAACTATTACCTTAGTGCATTTCTCATTTCTCATTTCTCATTTCTCATCCTAACCCATACTAATATCTAACCTTCACCCTTGCAACCCTGACATCACTCCATACTCCTGCCCATGACTTCCAACCCGAATTAAAATTTTGCCCCCGGAGGATATTTCTTGTCGTTCACCTCGACCTTGGGCTCACACACGCACCAGTCTTGCGGTGGAATGTTGTCAAGGACGGAGGATATATGGCTTCCGCAGCCAATCCACGTGATTTTGTCTAGCGAGAAGCATGTTAGGCATATATGAGAGATGGTATAGATATAATAGATATAATAGATGTTCATCTACTGTCTAACTTACAGCAGGTGGAGCAATTGGCTTTCATGCACATCGTGGCGGAATTATTCTTATGTCTGAGATAAGATGGTTCTTAGAGATCAATGGCTAATATGGCTTCGATGGATAATTGCGGCAGTTGTTTTTTTCCCTTTTCTTTTTCGGTTCGCTGAGGCGGCGTTGGTTTAAGTAGGTAACCATTAATGCCGCCGACTTGTCTATTTATGGGTCAAAACTGCTAGGTTGGTCCCCGAGCCCGAGCAATAGCAGCCGAGGAATTCGGCGATTGGAATAGACGGCGTAAAAACCCGCGTGGTCGGCGAATATGAATTGCCATCGCCCATATGGTCGAACTTTATTTATTAGCGCGCTAGTCTTATTTACTCGTGCTTTTCGTCTAGTAATAGGCGATTATTCCCATATATACGAAGTACTGCTATACATGTACATTCGTAAACAACCATCTCAGTACATTTAAATCCATCGGAAATTCTATGAATCTACCTTACAGGAACACTATTATAGTTATTATATCAACTATTACAATTAAATAATACATCTAACCATACCCCATTGGCAACACCAGAACCTTAATTATAGGATACACCTAGTAGGTATAAGTGATATTATTCCGTTACGAAAACGATAGTCTCTCATCAGAGAACGACAACTCTAAAATATGTCAACATTTGGCCCTTGACTATCATAATAATAATATCACTCATTACAATAATATATTGTTATGATAATAGTAATACCCATCGTTCCATCATTCCCTCTTCTATCTATAAAGTGAGGTTTGCTGCCTGGTGGCTCCTGGGATTGTCCAACCGACTAGACGTCTATATAAAGAACTCTCTTATATAATATAAGTCGTACCTATTATCTTTTATTCAACCTTCAGTCCTATTACTATACAACGCCTAGGACCCAGCGCCGTACGACTGTGCACTTTTTTACTTGAAACCCCTTCTTCCCATCTTACTTTCGACTATACGCGGAAAGAATCTACAACAATTGGCTTGCCAACACCACAACAGCCATACACTACGCCTTCTGAATCCGCCATCCTCTCCGCTCTTACCGCCTACCGCGAGCGCCTCGGCACCGTCAACCGCCGCGCCATGGTCGCCATAATCCCGCAAATATATACCTACTCTTGAGTTTAAACGGCAATATGATTAGCCCAGCCTTAAGAATATACTATCTAGGAAATAAAACGCCTCTTATTATATGTACCTTTGAGGCTACTTGGACCTTATTATAAAATCATTCATAATATAACAATTGGAAATTAATTATTTGCTCTTTTACTTTTTTTGAAAGCGAAAATTATGCGACTATATCGTTTCATTGACTATTTCAAACAAATTGGTTAACATACAAATATCTGTCGTACACTCATACTTAGGCCGTCTGCCATTCATAAAGTGCCCACCATACATACCACATAGTTATTAAGATACATGCTCCTGCTGCAGGCCAACCTCACATACCGACTTAATTAATTGCAAAGCAAGCTCCTTTCCGCGGCTGAGAGATTCAGGATCAGGGTGCAAAGGGACGTGCAAGAAGATTACTTTCTTGGGCCGTTGTTGCTTATACAGGTGAGCTAGGCTCGAGAAATAGATGAAGTCGCATAGGTAGTGCCCAGCGTCGTCGGAGATTTGTAGTCTGAGGTTATCCTTTGTGATTATTAATGTCAGTACATATCCAAAGCGTTGGGAAAATTAGGGGCATAAATCCTACCGGGCTACGCTCAACCCATCGCTTATAGATCTTCCCGATCTCTAGGTCAGTTAAGAGCTCCCCAGGAACGTCACTGTAGACAATAAGTTAATACACACGATACGCAGGATGCTATATACTTAAAGTATACTCACTGCCATATCCACTTATCCCCTTCAAGCTTACGTCTCTGCTCATCACCAAGAAGTTGACCATCAACATCCTGCTTATCATACCCATCACGATGACCCCGTCTCTCAATAGAATAAACATGTTGCGGGCCCGCCATCCCTATATGGATGACATAGTCAACCTTCTGCTCCGGATCATCCCACAGCGTCGGCATCAAGTCCCGAACAACTTGGTAGTTGACGCGGACCGGGCCGTGCTTCAGGATCCGGACCACCGGCAGGGCAAACGAAGCTTGCCGCACGGGATCCTTAACCCTGTCGGGCGGGAGGTAATCCGGCAGCGAGGCGGTTATCTCCCAGGCGGGATTCACGGGATACTGCTCTTTGAAGGGCTGCACGTAACTGATTAGCTACATGTAGGGAACGGGCACGGGCACGGCACAAGTTAGGTACGCACACCGAAGCCGGTGACCAGCACGGTCAGCTCATCTTTGGGAGAATCGAGCGAGCCCATCGAGTCAGTTAGTAAAGGCGAGGGATGGTGCGAGCGGCCAGGAAGAATATATCCAAAAGGGGGAACGAAGCTGAGCTAGGCGCGTATACTTTATTGTATATATGTATGATTGTATGTATGATTGTATGGATGGCACGAGTTGCGGGGTATTGCTGTCGTGCTATCTTGGAGGGGTAAAGCTCTCCTATTGGAGCTATGCTTTTCAGCTCTTGGGGGGAGATTGAGATAATGTGTGTTACTGTCTGCCGGTTTTGCATGTACTTAATATACTCCTCCCACAGGTCCGTCCGTCTGCAGTTTCTGTATTCTATACCGACATACTAATTGCCCAGACGTTAGGCCTCAACGATCTGGCTTCGACGCTGCCTGAGATGACATAGATGGCATTGCAAACGCGTCTCTATATATGCAAGTTGGAGATGGTAGGATACCCCGATCACGACTCGAGCCAGAAACCTATAAGAACCGTTCCCATCTCACGTAAGAAGCGGTTCTGCAGTAAGCGGGAGGTATTGCTGTGCGTCTAAATGGATATGTAGATACCTGGGTAGGTTAGGTACAACACATGTATGTACCTATGTAAGTTGAGATGAACAAGTCAATCATTAATGATGTACTGGAAGCTTGAAACTATTAGGTTTAGTTAGGTAGGTAGTTACTAAGTTTAACTATGGGTACTAAGTTTTTATGGGAAGCGTCGGCTTTGTGCTAGTTGAAGTACAGCGCTATCTTATTCGGTGGAGCCTGTCAGACAGCTACCTCAGGGGAATAATACTTCGCGTGTAACGGGTAACACCTCGTACAACGCAGAGCGGAACTGCAAAGAGGATGTTCAAATTATGATATACCGCATTTTTCAAGCACTCAACTAAGTATTGGCATATGCATGGTAGCTAACTCAACTCCATTCCAAGCGGCCATGGCCTCTACATGTTCCGTTCCATGTTCATAGCCTCGTCTACCGCGGTTTGTCCCCCTTTTATTTTTACACACATCACCAAGCCTACCACTAACTCACCTCCAGGCTCTAGTAGGTCTAGCAGCCGCAGCGGCAACCGGTATCTTCACTGGTAGCGGTAGCACCGGCTTTCTTCTCGGGTCCTGCGCGGGCTTCGTTGGCGGATCACTGCATTACTACCGGATGTGTCTAGCTCAAGCGCTCTCCTCGCTTGACGAGCACCCGCGCCTCATGCAGTTGCACCTAGCATACAATTTCCCATGGCTAGGCTACCAGCACTTGCACCGGAGCCAGCTGCGGTCCAAGGAGTGGACTCGGACGTCCTACGCACGCCAGGGGAATCTGACCGCAGCTTGGTTGAGCGCTTCGGACGCTTTGGATGAGATACACGATAGGAAGATGGCCTTGATTCTGGAGGCTATTATTCGCCAAGAGACAGCCAAGGGATTGATCGAAGACAAGGAGGAAGAAATGGGGTAGACGTGAGGAAATATATGTAGGAAGGACCAGGTATGAGGTAATAATTAGGTAAGGATTAGGTGTACACCAATAAGCGTACGGCAAAGGAAAGGGAAGGAAAACACACGGTACTGAAATGAGGCTATCACGATCTGTTGTTGTCTGTTGTTTTAGTTGTGTGTGTGTGGGTTAGCCTAAAAGGTAAACCCTTTTAGGCTTAGCCCCACGCACGTGGTGGCACGTGACTAGATTACATAATTGGCTATTCCCCATATTCCAACAATATAGACAGATAAGAGGCATCAATTAACATATTTCCCTCATCTCATTGACTATTACATCGAAATCAGTTTTTACAAGTTTATTATAATAAATGATCTGATACATTATCTGATATTAAAAAGCTTCGCATAAAAATTAATATCTTATAGCTGGCCGAGTTGGGCGTACTTATAACCAATACACAATCAAGAGCGACCCCCTATAAAAAAGCATATTCGTGAGTGTAGCTATCATATACATTTAAGGGTACTGCTCCCTGTAGGAGCCACCTTGTCCAGTATTTTCAGCTCGCCAGTGTCATCATATGCAACTCGACCCTCGTTAACCGCCCTACGCAAGTCTTCCGGAAGGATATCCTTCTCTCCCGTTTTTGGATCCCATACGTAGCCCTCCTGCATCCATAGCCACCTAAGACAGGCACGGAGTTCCTTATCTTCCGGCAATACTCGCATCCACTCAGGTTGGAATTCTCCTTCGCGTCCTTTGCCTCTCCAGTCTTCTGCACGACCGAGAAGGACATCCCTACAAAATATCCTCCAGCTGTCTATAGCATACCGACCTTGTGTCATGTGGCCAATTTCCCAAGCCGACGACCTGGGATCGTCAGGACTCAATGTTTCTGCAGTCCGGACGTCGGCCCCGTCGCCTAGCTGTGGATAATTCTTCACGCCATATCGAATGTCAGCTCGAGGTGGCTTTTCTATCCATATTCGTGCGTATTTCTGGATTGCAGTAGCTCGAACCGCAGAAAGACCGAGGTGTTTAATCATTGCTATTATATCGTTTGTGTCTGCTTCTGCTAGATGTCTCGGTGTCGGATACTTTTCTACGAGATCGTGGAACACGGGTATTGAATGTTTCCCCTTTACGCGTATCAGAAAAGTCACTGCGATAAGCAAACGAAGAGGATCGGTTGCGAGGTCTTCTTGAATCAAGCCGAAATTGGGGGCGTCTAAACGCGGGAAAGGTACGCAAGGAACTGTTCCTCGAGGAGGTCGGGGATATTTTATCTTGGGCGGGCCGAACATGTCCATTGTGTCAAAGTAAGGGGACTTCGTTTTGCGTTTGGGAGTTAGACATTTTACTACTAGTTGAGGAGACTTGCTTTCTCTCTTATGAGATGCTGCACCGTTGATTTCTGGTTCCTCGTTTTCGTCCGATTCGCCTAAACTCAACGTAGCTGCGTCCAAGGTCCCTTCAACATTTCCGGGTGTAGGTAATGATGATTGCAAGTCTGCTAATACCTTTTCTGCTTCAGTATTTGTATGAGAAACGCGCAGCGGAAGAGTAGTATGCAAAACACCACCCTGGCCACTCACAGACTCCCGGCTGTCTATGAGTGACGGCCTTTTAAAGAAATTCTAAGATCATTAAGAAGTGACGGAGGATTTATCTCCTGTTCGGCATCACAGAATTCCGGCGATGTAGAGATGTTGTCTTGGCTGCGGCGAACTTTGGGGACTCGAAGAACTGGGCTCTCAGCTAGAGGTGTAGCAATAGACTCGGGCAGTGACTTTCTAGCCTTTATGTCTCTCTTTCTCTTCTTTGAGTTCTTTCTACTCTTCTTCTTCTCGCTTTTCGACTCCTTTTTATCATCTGCTGACTGGTGGAATTGCTGAAGGGAAGAACCTGGGTTATTCGCGGACCAGAATGGAGATATCATGTTCATTCCGTGCTTCTTGACGGATTGTTCTGGATCTGTCTGTTCGTGAGACGCATCTCTCTTCCTTTTCCCTGCCTTCCCCTGTTTCGTGCTTGACTGGGATTGGGGTTCCTGTGCAACGTCTTCATACTTCGGATGAAGATTCGACGTCTTTCCGCTGATGACACCATCTAGAGGGCCAGAGCGTGGGGAGAGGACCTTGGTGAGGAAGGTGAGGAGGTCTTGCCCCTCGAGGGGATCATCGAAAGAAGCCTCTTCTTTCAATTCTTTTAAAGCGTTTGCACATGAGAACATCAGATGCCACTCTTCATAGCCACGCATCAGGCTGTGGTGAGTGAAGTGTTTGATGTCATCCTCAGACGCCCATCCGTTCACTATTATGTCTCCGAGGTACCATTCTTGAGATTGACCGGAAGTGTCAAAGCCATATGTGTAATCCAGAGCCAGCCGGCTACGAGCTTCGGCATACGTCTTGGCTAAATAATGATCGTCCGCCATCTGATTCATAGCACTACCGAAATACCTGTAAGGATCAGAGCTAGGGATTTGGATAGTTATCGAAAACGGGTACTTCGCTACGAATGAAGCGACGGTAAATATAGTACTTAGGCGAGCCACTTGGACGTACCTAGGTATATTTAAATACTATATTTTCCTGACGTGTCGAGTCTAGAGCGTGAGTTTCACGTTGAGGAAATTGTGTTGGTGAATGGTTGCTTTGTTTTTTGGTTGGGTAGGTGTTGTGATATATATTGTCGGGAAGTTGATTGGGACGGTTTGGATTAGTTGTAAGATGTGTTGAGAGACTACGTGTATAAATGCAGACGGAATACGTACCCAGGTACATTTGGGCAATTAAGGTCACCGCCTTATTTGCACACCTATAGGTAATAGGTATAAGGTAGACGGCGACTATAGCGAGTTTATGTCCGGTATGTAGGTACACTAAATTACCTGAATTACAGTACTGGAGACTACTAGGTTAGAGACTTAAGGTTGAGGCTGAGGAAGACCCCTCCTTCTCTTTCCCTGTGCGCACCTTCCCATTTCTTCGAAATATTATCCTTATTAACTTATGTAATGTACAGGTAATCTACATAGGTAGCTTATGTACCTAATGTACCTGATATACCTATCTTAGGAAGCATATATGTGGATAGCTTCCCGTCGATAAAGGTAGCTTTATCCCCAGACTGAAATTACTCCATGCATAGGTAGTGCCCAGGCACACCAGGTAAGTAAATGTGCAATTGGAGGTTAACCGAGTTGAGAGAAAATATTCTCATCATAAAAATCCATTATCAAGTTGCCCATGTACTTCAAGTAAACTTTCCGTGAACGTCTAAAATTTAGGAACTTGATATACACTCTAGAGTCGTGACTCAGGATTACTCCAACCCCTTGCAACCTCAAGTCTTTTTCTTCTTCTCCCCTTGCCATGACAAAGGAGCGGTATGGTAGCTTAGTAGTACATACAGCAGCGGATATCCTTACGAGCGGACCTTGTCGGTTACCTTTGGTGGGTCGTAGGCGATCTTTCTCGACTTGACCGTTGCCCACTTGTATCGCTTAACCCAGACACTTAAAGCGAACAGGACTGCGGTAACAGTCAACACCTTCATGCCCATTCGTTTTCGGTCATCCATCTCAGGTTCCGCCGCCCAGTTCAAAAACTCCGTCACATCCTTGGCCATCTGCGAGGTAGACGCAGGGGTCTCATCCTCATACTCCACAAGACCATCGTATAGGACACGGGCCATAGCAATGCCAGTACCCGGGAAGTAAGGGTTGAAGTTGAGACCGGCGCCGACCTGAGCACCCGCCGGCGGCTCGTCGGGATATCCAGTCAGTAAGCTGAAAATGTAGTCACAGCCACCATGTCGGCCCTTGACAATTAAGCTTAGATCGGGAGGGAGGGCACCATTGTTGGCAGCTCGAGCGGCCTCGTCGTTCTTGTACGGTGCCGGGATGTAATCCGAAAGCTTTCCGGGTCGCTTCTCGATTTCACCCTCATCGTTGGGCTCGGTGTCGTACTCGTTCTGTTCCGCCAATTCCTTCGCCTCGTCTACTGTTAGGATAGTTCCAACAAGTGCTCGGTAAGGAACTCGGCTAAGCGAATGGCATGCCGCGCAGACTTCTTGGTAGACTTGGAAACCTCGGCGAAGTCTGGTGGTCCGTAAGTAATGATGGAGCCTTAGAAGTATGAGTTTTTACACTTACGCTTGGTGGTCAAAGGTCTTAAACCACTGCTGGTGAACCCATGGGTATGCCGTCGGGTGCAGACTAATTTGACGTATTAGCATCATTAGTATATAGGATACCAGATAATCTCCCATCTATCCTCTAGTGTCGGATTAAAGGAAGATAAATCGTATGATTCTTCCATATATAGGAACCCAAACTCACCCTTCCTCGGCGGGCGTCATGGCATGTGCGGTAGATCCATAGAGATGGTAGTACCATGCTACGGATCCGATAGCGAGAGCTGTGGAAGCGGCGGCGGTTACATTCAATTTCAGAGAGGATTCGGCTCCGGCGCCAGATGTGGAGATAGACCGCTGCAGAAGGACGATAGTTAGCTACATTCATACTTATTTCCTCTGCTATATATGATCGTAACAGCTATTGTTGTAGCCACCAGGCTTTGTAGATGGGAGTTCTAGACGACGTCAGTCGATGCGTACCTTTGTGAAGGCGGTCGCGCCATTTCTGGCGCCGTTGAAAATGCGCGTAGAGCGCAGGCAAGACCTTGCCAACATGAAGGGCGAGATTCTACCCGTTCGTGGGAGGTGGGCGACGGGTAGGTTGACAATGCAATGGGAAAACAGGGTAAGATTCGGCGTTGGGGTTGAAAGAGGTCGAACCGGTTTAAACAACAAGGTTGAATGAAAAAGTGCTCAGGCCTTGAAGCAATTGGAAATACCTAAATCCTATTGGCTGCCGAGGTTAGCTTCGCTGGGCTTATTCCATTATGCACGTGATTAGAGCTGCCAAGACTTAGGTTTTTATTGTTAAAACCATATGGGCCTAAACTCAGCAGGTCGGGAACCCGCCATTCATCGGCCTACAACGAAACTTTTTACCGAGCTTCTTTATATAGGTACTTCACGGATAGAACAACAACAACAAGTTGGAGACAAGTTCAACTCTTCCTATAATTTGTTTCCTCTAATTCCTACATGGCATTTTATCGTGTTAAACTTAGATAATACATTTGCCCCATTTCTAACAAAGGTCTAAGTATAAGAATTGTAACGCAAAGAATGCTTTAATTTATCTTTTTTTTTCCCCTTCCGTTGTGCCGAACGTTTGGATATCTTCAAAATTTTGAACCACTTTTGATTACAGATCGCGAGACTTCTTGCTCTTTACTTTTTATGATAGGTGAATCCCATCTAAGCACTCCCAATTGCCAACGAGTGGCCATTTATACCAGTTACCTTCCTCCGCTCTTTGACGGCATTCGCGAGGGTAGCGAGGACTGATTCCGTGTCTTCCCATCCAATGCAAGCATCTGTGATACTGATACCGTACTGTAGACCATCCTTGCCTTCTTTAGGCACCTTCTGGCTGCCTATAAGAGCGAATAGTTAGCGATCCAACCTAGGCACCTGGATCATACGGAACACTTACCTTCGTTGATATGACTTTCGATCATAACTCCCATGATGCCGGTCTCCCCCTTGGAGATTTGCCCTGCTATATCAGCAGCAACCTTAGGCTGGTTCTTGTGGTTCTTGAGCGAGTTTCCATGGCTGCAGTCTACCATGAGACGTTGGCGCAACCCTGACTTGGCTAGGGCAGCCTTAGCCTCTGCGATGCTCTTCGCGTCGTAGTTAGTACCACGGCTTCCGCCTCGGAGGATTACGAAGCAGTCCTCATTACCAATAGTGCCAACGATGGCTACGACTCCGGGCTTCGTAACGGAGAGGAAATGATGAGGATGCCTAACAGCACCGATAGCATCAATGGCCACACCCAATGTTCCGTCAGTACCGTTTTTGAACCCTACCGGGAAAGACAAGCCACTCGCCAATTCACGGTGCAACTGACTTTCGGTGGTCCTAGCGCCCACGGCTCCGACTGAAAGGACATCTGCTAGGAACTGTGGTGAGATTGTATCCAGCATCTCGCTAGCGATGGGCATCCCCTTGTCGTTGAGTTCGACGAAGAGCTGCCTTGACATGCGCAATCCCTTGTTAATTTGGAAGCTGTTGTCGATCTCGGGGTCGTTTATTAGACCCTTCCAGCCTACTGTTGTTCGTGGTTTCTCAAGGTAAGCCCGCATGACGATGAGTAGCTCATCCTTGTACTTCTCCTTCTCCTTCAGTAGTCTGTCGCAGTATTCGAGGGCGGACTTCGGGTCATGAATGGAGCATGGTCCGATGATGACTAGAAGTCTATCCTTCTCGTCGGTGCCATTGACTACAGCTACTACCTCATCGCGGCTTTCGAGGACTGTCTGCTTTGATTTGGCCGTATGTGGGATTTCGTGCTGGAGGAGGTCCGGAGGCGTTAGGGGATTGTAGCCGCGGACTAAAGAACCAATTAGCTCCATAATCCTTTGTCTTCTGAGGATCCATACGTACTTCTCCAGTCATCCCCAGTAGTTTTGTTGCCGACGTCCCTGTTTGCAATGTAGAAGCTCTTTAAATGTCACCAGTCAGTCGATTGTCTAGGCTTGCCTTTTGAAGGTACAAGTTAAGATACACTTACAGACATGATGGGCTAATAAAAGCGATTATAGTCCCTTGCGTACCAGTAGAAGAAAGCTAATTCGAAGAAAACTAGCACCTAACAAGAAGTGGGTGGTGAATTGGATATAATGGAATTGCTTCTATTCTGTCGCAAAAGCAGCCGATCGTCGCAAGATCTAAAAAATAAATATTAGCCGATGCAATTGAGAGTCATAGTGGGGGTAGGGACTATTAGTGAAATTTTTAGTGACAACTCCGGGGGGCGATAGCTCCGATGGCGGGGTAGGAATACCTAAAAAGGCGCTGAACAGGGGTTCAATTTAAAACCTCTTTCGTGCAATGTACAATGCCCAATACAGAGGAACTCATAGGTAAAGTATTAAGTTCAAATCAGAAGTTATGTCTAAGTGCTCCATTTCTCGACTGCATTTATACCATCTATAATCAAAGAACCTCTATCAAACCCAAATACTCTAGTATCCCATGTTCATTATCTCGAATCCCTTTGAAAATTCGAATCGTCCGATATGGTTATCTAATGCTGCTTTTATAAGCTGAGAGTTCTGCATAAGCAAGTACATGAAAGCTTTGATCTACTTACTGAATTCATGATATATTTTTCATTGTGCTGCCAACCCCAATCTCCAGAAATCCTATTTACTTCCTCTTCCGGATGCTTGCAGGATCCGCTACGGCCTCCCTTTTAAATTCCTCGATACCGTTGATTTTTCCATACGTCCATTTTAACGCCGTAGTGCTGCCGGTCATCAACAGGGCAGAGAACGTAAACAATACCATCCGCTGCCAAGTGTTAAGCTTGTCGAAAATGGGATAGGGGTACCTTTTCGAGGAGTTAGAACGACAAAGCTTTTTTTTGGAAGCGGACAAAGGAAATAAAGCAGCATACCAGCCGTTGCGGGAGAAGCAGTACTCTACCCAAAACCAGTATAGTAGCGCCAAGGCTTCGCTCAAGGCCAAGGCTGAGAAGCCATGAATCGTCCATGGCGGACTAAGGAGCAACAAATCCACCGCTAGGAAAACCGCCGGCGCGGCATGAAATCCTAGATCTGGGAGCAGGTCTAACTGCAAGTCGGGCGGGAATACCAAACCTTTGTCGATGGCGCAAAGACCCCAATATAGGATGCTGATCAATACCTCTAGCGGCGCCGAGCACATGGAGAGGACATGCTTCAGCGCAAATAGCCGGGAGGACAGCGTAATGTCGGCTAGAAATCCGACGCCGAATGTGCATAGCGCGAGGGAGAGTCCAATAATGGTGAGAAACTGGAAGTGTCCGCCGAAGGCAGCGGACATTGGCGTTTCCCATGTACTCAGAAACTTGAACGAGCTCGCAAAAGACAATATTCCCGCCAGGTGAACCAAAAAGGAAAACTGTCTCGACGGAGATGCAAGCCTCTGAAGCGGATGGCGACCGGTCATTTCGGCAGCAAAGTGAACGATAATTTAGTATGAACTTTCCAGCTGATTTCTCTCGGAGAGATCCTAATATATGTACTCGACGAATGGATAAATAAATTAACTAACATCAAAGTGTCCAGCTCGAATATGTATCCAACGTCTCAATTTCTCAATTTAATATAACAACACATTGGGTATCACCGAAAAGGAGGCGTAACATCAGATAAATTGCCTCTTAGTACTTTAGGAAACGCACATGAAAATGTGGCTTGAAAGTCGGTAAGTTTGATTGCTTGACCGGACTGTCGGGTCTTGCATTCTGCCCGGCCCAGTCGCCTTACAGGAAATCTAATCTACCAATGACGCTAAGTGCCGGATTCACGAGGTCTGTGACTTGCAAAGTTCAATATGTCAGATTACCTATTGAAATCGGTGTGGTACTACAATTTATATGACGTAACGAAGCCACTAGAGCTGCAATAGGTACCTACACGCCTATGAAGTCAATTAACCTACCTAAGGTAGTTCTTAATACCTACCTAGGTATGATTTGTATAATAATATCACTTCTTGTTTTTCTCGTTTTATCCTGTGATGCGCCGTCCTTTTATTAAATAATTAGTGATATATGTAGGTATAGACGGCATTATACTCAAGTTAAGTATTATCGAGTTGTATACACACATACTTAGGCTATATCGATATTGAGGATCTTGATATCCTCCTCGGGCTTCTCCTTGTACGTTCGTACGTTCTCTATCTTATGGATTACGTCTAATCCCTGCACCGCCCTCCCGAATATCGTATGTTTGTTATCAAGCCATGGCGTCTTCTCTGTAGTGATGAAAAACTGGCTTCCGTTGGTGTTTGGTCCAGCATTGGCCATACTGACGGTATAAGGTTTGTCGTGTTTGAGGGTGCTGAACTCATCCTCAAATTCCTTCCCCCATATACTCTCGCCACCCGTACCGTCGCCCAAGGGATCGCCTCCTTGGATCATGAACTTGCGTATTACTCTGTGGAAAATGGTGTTGTTGTAATATCCACGTTTGGAGTGAGTTACAAAGTTCTCGACGGCCTTCGGTGCAGCATCGGGGAAGAGCCGGATGTGGATATCTCCATATGTTGTATGAAGAATGGCTGCTGTGCCAGTCTCACCAGCCTTTTTCTGAGTGGCTTGCTTGGGGTTTATTATGGTTGGCTTCTCGTTCTGGACATCTCTTTCTGATCTGGATATCTCTTCGTCGTTCGTAAACATATAAAATCGAACCTTCCCTACGGCCGTTATGAAGAGTATCGGGTCTCTCGCCTCCGATTCTTGCAAGAGAGGGTTGCTTGAAGCAGCCATCTCTACAGTTGTAACACCTTTCTTCTGAGGTTGCCCTTGGTATATAGCAAGGTTGATTGGGCGTATATGTTCATCTTTCCCATAAACCTTCACAACTTGGTTAGTATATGTGTTCAGCACTTTGACGCCAAGGATGGAGCCATATAAGATGAAGTGGCCCGATTCGTCAAAAATGACATTGACCTTATTTCGAAGTGAAGGGGTTTCAATCTCGCGCTCCGCAGCGAGCCTTCTTCCAAAGTCGACATCATCTAGCGTTTGCATGGATGTCCCTGCTTGTTGCATCTTTTCAATGACCTGCAGAGATTCGTCATAAGTCCGATACAGTTTAGCCGACGCAAATTCAAAAACTCGGATCTTACGATCAGGTAGGGAGAATGTGACAAATTGATGACCTGAGGGTGATATCGTCAAGGAGACTGGCGTCGACTTCGCTTTCTTGAAATCAAAGAGATTGGTAGAGCTCTTGTATTGGAACACATTTGCCGGCTTTTCGTAGTTGGCGCTTGGCGACCAGTACTCAAGCATTCCGTTGTCGTCGGCAGATACCACACAGTCGTAGGCGTCATTAAAGGCCATTATCGACACAGGGCTCCTATGTAGGCCCTTGATAGTATGTATCGGTGTCTGGTTTTCTCCACGCCCATCGTATATGTAAATCAACGGTTTTGAGTCGTCCGAGACAGCTAGGAGCGGTAACGAAGCGCCGAGTTTATGTATCCAACAGACGCACTTAGGGACGTAGTCTAGAGGAAGCATGGCGAGAAGGTCGAAAGTGATAACATCAAAAATCTTGACGGTTTTGTCGATACCGGCTGTCGCAAAGCTCCGCCCGTCATGGCTAACTGAGACCGACCGTACTTCGCCCTGGTGAGCCTTAAACTCTTTAATGAACTCAATTCCTTGCTCGACTTTCTTCCAGAACTTGACTACTCCATCCGCAGATGTTGTAATGAGAAAATCAGATCGCGTGACGTTCAAAAAAGCCAACTGCTCCTTGTGCATAAGAGATTTCGAGTAGCGTGCTGACTTAGGTAGCGCTTCGATATAGAGTTTTTCGTGTGGTAGAACGCGTCGTTTCTTCTTGGGTGCACTTGCTGTAGAGGGCAACTGGGGACCCATATCATCATCTGAGGAGCCATCTGAGCGTAGGGAATTAGTTTCACTATCCGCGTGGAATGTTCAAAGGGTCATACCGTCGCCATTCTTTTCAGCGAAGTCAGAGTGACTTCTCTTGTTATTTACTTCAGCCATTTGTAAACACGGGTATTGTGAAGTTGCTACCAAGGAGCGACTCGATGGAAAAGCTGTAACAAATCCAAAATGCTAGACGTGATTGTCGACTGAATGCTGTATCGGCTTCTGCTAGAGCTTCTACCAATAAGAAACTCGACCGATTCGAGAAAAACGGTATCCTAGGCGAGGCTGTGATGAGGCTGCGAACAGCTCCAAAAATTCCCGGCGCTGAATCTTGTAAGCTCTTAATCTCGCGTACTTTATTTTATTTAGTTATGAGCTCCACTATTTTTAGTTGATAAGATATACCAAAAAAAATAGTTCCACCAACGTGTGACGACCTTGGCAACACCAGAACCATTTTGCCCGAGAGAGGAGGGGAACCGAACCCCCGTATCTGCAATGATAGGTAGTCACCCGGAATAGGAGGTTATTCGGGTCCTTTTCAATAGACTTGTCGTTTTGTAAGCTCTTAATCTATGTATAGAGCTACAAGTAACTAGGTAATCTAAATAATGGGTTAGGTGAGCTCTATTTTCCGTTTTATCGGTATTTACGGCATCCGATAACTAGGTACATGTAGCTTAAGGCAAAACCCCACTGCCTTAGGTACATACCTACCTTGTCCCACCTATTTAGGACTTAAGCCTTGTGAAGGGTGTTCCTCGCCGCACCCGCTTCCACAACCTGAGCAGCCTTAGCTACAATTACCCCACGATTTTAAGGTAACAGGCGCACACTGTATAATGCCATGATATACGATACCGAGTTTCCAGATTTCGAGGTTTACGTAGGTACCTATGAATATATAAGAATTCGAAAACTCCAGCTAGGTAAATTATTACTAGTGTAGGAACACCATTAAGTTACACATGCATAAAATCAAGCATCGGATACCTATCGGATATAACCCCCATCTTGTTTTGCCTGCCCTAAGAACTTGAGAGAAATAGCAGCCAGTTAACGTTGCTTAATTGTGCGAGAGCGGAAAGCGGGGTAACACGTGTGGTATATAATATACAGTGTATAACTAGTTATTTATATACTGTGACACATGTACACTAATCCTTTTTTTTCTGTGGAAGCCGAGCCGTCGGGGCCCTTGTCCTCCTACCACATTGCAGTCTACGTGAACATCCCCGGTTCCAGTGCAGAGGGACTTTGACCAATTCCAGTCATCGTATGGGATTCCGGGACTCGCATTCCCGGGGTCTTGCAGAATGTGCGCTTACCATATCCCTTTGGTCAATCATCCTCCGTCGTTCCGCTGGCTTTCCTACTGTACCTAGTCTTGGCCTTATCTTTTACGCATCCCTAGACCCCAGACCAGAGATAGAGAGAGAGAGAGAAAGAGTGTTAGCGAGGCCTGGTATATTCGTCATTACCTATCACTCCTGCAAGGAAGAGTGTTTTAAGGCACAGAGCTATATAATATCAATCCCCAATCCCCATTCCCAATCCCAACCCCGGATCGATCATAAAGTCGCCCTCCCACCACGAAAGGTATTCGGTATTCTCCTCGCAACCAGCTTCTCGGGACTATAACTGGATTGCAACTGTGCCATCTCATCCTTCCTCTTGTCCTGCATTGGTCAGCGAGCCGTGTAACAATCCTTCCCAGTTAACAGCTGCCTCTCAAACCGAGAGTCCTGCATGTCGAATATGCGCCGCGGTCGCTGTCGGAACGAGGGATATTGTGCTCGTACAATTTCCCATACTTAGGCCACTCACCGTGAGTAAGAGTCGCCAGCGTATAATGCCACGTCCGAAAAGACCCGGCGCACCAGAACCGAAAAGGCGAAGTCGAAATGGATGTTGGTATGTATATCATCCTTTATTATTCAGACCTTCCTCCTACTGTGCTGTCGTGCTGACTCTCACACCAGGCCGTGTAAAAACCGTAAGATCAAATGCGGCGAGGAGCGGCCCCATTGTTTAAAGTACACTATTTCTATTCTATCTTAGATATATCCCTCTATGAGAGTCTATAGTGGCTAACAGTTCTTTCTTAAAGCTGTCAAAGAACAGGTGAAAAATGTGACTATAGCATCCGTTTAAACTGGGAAGGCCGAAGGGGGAAGCGGCCAGAGCCTGGTGTGCTAGATTTCAGCCAAGAAGTCTTATCGCCGCCTTTGCCCGCCAGAGGGTTCAAGCTGGTGCACCAATATCCTTCATCTGACAATCCAGGAACACGGAGGCTTGAGCCCCTAACCGGTCCACAAAGTCAGCCAAAGCTCGACCGTAATAGGGTACCTTCCCAGATAGCAGTCCCTTTAGACAATCTATCATCTAGGACTATCGGCGATACGGAATCATTGCCTGCCAGCAAGCGCGCAAGGCTGGCGTCGGATCTTCATACTCCTGATCCCCAATCAGCGCACCCGATTGAACAGAGGCACAACTCAGCGGCCAGCTCGACTTTAGACTCGAGTGTGGCATCCTTCAGGTTTACAGTTGGCTCTGGCCTAACGTCTGCTTCTCCTCTAACCCCTACTACATCGTCTACATATAGCGATGATGATCAGCGTCACGCTAGCCGGAGACTTTCCGTAAATTCACTTTTGTCGATACCTCCGGGCCCTCCAGCTTTACAAGACGAAAGTGCTAGTCGAGTAAGGGCCAGCCTACCACCAATAGACACTCGAACGCGTGTGTCAACAGAAGCAACCTATTACGGCATTGACCGCGGTTTTCCGGATCGTGACCTGGGTAAGAATGAAGACATGATCGCTATTAGTGGGTCATCGCCGCTATTACAGCGCGAATTTTTGGATACCCCTTTTGAACCGATTGATGATCTGGTTTGGACCGAATTTGGGTTCGGAGTCGAGACTAATGAGTTCATTGAAGAAGGGGGTGGATATTATTCAAGGCCAGTCTCGATATATATTCCTCGCAGCCTCGAGCCGCTTCCCACACAGTAAGTCAGGGCCATCAACCACAAGTACAAACTCCCTAGTGCGTATTGACATTTCGCTAGACTCATTGATAACCCTATGAATCTTCTTGTGAGTAGCGCTGTCCCAAGATCTCTACGCCATATCTAATAGTCAACAGTATTTCGTGAGTTGTATTATTCAATTCAATGGGGCCTTGACTTATATCCTATAAACTAGCATCATTTCTTGAACCATACCGCTCGAGGTAAGCAATCCTTCCTGCCCTAGTCGATTATAAACTAAATCTTTATGTAGTTCTTGTTCCTTATGATGATCCGCATGCCAATCCCTTCCGGACAATACTCCCGCAGATGGCCGTCAAGAATGACAACCTCTTAGCACTTCTACTAGCATATTCTGGTAAGGATGTCAGCTGTCCGAGTAGCTAAACTCATACTAAATTAGACACATAGCTTCCCATAGAGCACGCGTTTTGAACCACCCGGAGCCTACGATTCGGATTGCCACCTGGGTTGACAACGTATTCCCAGCTCTAAGGCAGGATCTGAACGACCCAGACAAGAATTTCTCAGATGCGAACCTCGCAACGGCCATTATGCTAGCTTCGCTTGAGATAATTTCACCAAAGGTATTCGGATACGATATGCCATGGCAAAGACATCTAGGCCTTGCGAGAGAACTCATAACTGCGCGCCCAGGTGGCCTTCGCGGATTTCAGTCGAACTTTCGTCACGACCCTGTCTGCTCTTTCTTGTGGAGCTGGGCCGCATATCTTGACGTTATAGGAAGCCTTAGTGGGGGACCGAAAGACTCATCATCAACCTGGATATTTGACTACGAAGTAGATGACATTATCGATGGCTATGATGAGATAGACTGCATCATGGGTTTCACTACGCGATGCATCTACCTTCTTGCCAACATTGCTGACCTGGCTAGGAAGTGTGACTCTGAACGCATTGGAGACGACCTTGATGTGAGACAAGACTGGGAGCCAAGCGACGACGTATTAGGGCAGGCCTCGAGGATTGAAGAAGCTATTAAGGATAGCATGGTCCAGTTGCCGGTGCCTTGCAAGCATATACACAAGAAAGGGGATGTAGAGAAGTGGGATAGACGAGAGATGGAGGCAACGAACGAGGCTTTTCATTGGGCTGGGCTCGTCCATCTCTACCGTAGGATCATGGGGAAGCCAACCGAAGACAGGTCCGTCCAGGTTGCAGTACAGAAGATCATCGACTGCTTCAGCCGTATTCGACCGGGCGGGACAGCAGAATCTTGCCTCTTGTTTCCTATGTTTACCGCGGGATGTGATGCTATTGATGAGGGACAGAGGACTCTAGTACTCAACCGATTCATGACAGCTGAGAATCACGGGATGACTCAGGTAAGCGTAATGAATTTACTTTCCTAAGTAGCTGCTTCTAACAACCTTTTAGATTCATAATGCACGCCGGCTCATGCAAAAAGTATGGGAAACGCAGAGGCCTTGGGAGACTTTGGTAAGCACGGAATTTATTGGATAATGTTTTTGACTACTGAAAAGGGGGCATAATGTCTATTATTATGCTTGCAGAATAACTCTTTTGTAGGTTTGAATCTATCAGACAGGAATGACTCTATATGAAGCCAACCATAGTCTTGATTATACGTTATAAGGGAGGAGATTCACCATGGTGGAACGGCTTCAAATCATTAACGAGTAGCTTAGCAATATACACCATTTGAAATGTCGAGGAATAGGTATGATTGTATTCAGAAAATTATGCTAAATCTTCTTTATTCAAGTACTTGGTTTCTATTTCTTGTCTGACTTATAAGTTGTAGGCCTCTCATTAGCGCTAGAGGTCCATATTTACAAGGATCATAACTCGTATACTCATTACCATTGTATTTCACCCGTAGATTAGGTTAGAATGTTATATTACCTCATGTTGAGTACCTATACATATTGAGTTCATCTTCGCGTATCTGGGAATCTACGTGGGAAATATGGGGCTCGGAATAGAGCCGGCTTGTCTTGTCTTGGCAGGCAGGCAATGTTCCGCTATATTAATATTCTTGGCGCAAACTAGGGATGCATGGTTGAAAACCAATGCCATGGAAGCACTGATAGGTACTTACCAACCTAGGTTAGGTATGTACTGCACGGTAATATGTAGGTACAATATAGTGGGGTTAAATTACCCCACTACTATCACTATCAAGGCTTGACAGATACGCGCTGTGAGCTCTTTAATATAGCGCGATTGACCCATAACGTTATAGGAGGATACGCGAATACAACGAAAGAGCTACTCTAGGTAAATCAGTAGGTTAGCCAAATATCCTAATACTCGAATCTCTTCGACTAGACAAATACCAAGGAGACTACCGCTAGCAATGGATATCGACGACATACTACGAGAGGTCGATCCTACATTCGATTCCATCCCCGAAGACACACGCGACTTACAAGCGTTAACACGCGCCTGGGTCGCAGAGAGGTCCTCGCCCGAGCTACTCGAGTATGCAACGCCGTCGCCGGATCCCTCATGATTCGACACTGACAGCCCTTTGCGTCTTATAGTTGGCCGATCGACGGCTTATTCGAGCGCATAAACGAACGTATCAAGCAGCAGGTCGAGAAAATCGAGGAAATGACGGGCGATATGGATCCCAAGACCAACTTTGCTTTGATCGTTATACAGACCGAGCTTGAGAGGTATAAGTACTTGGTGCGGAGTTATTTGAGAGCCCGTATAGCTAAGGTAAGTCATGTTCCTTCCGTATTATCGCTTGGTCTTGTATACACATATGCGCGTATATGCACGTATATGTATATGCCGTATGGATTGTGGGTGTTAATCATATTCCATATGACTATCTGCCAGATCGACAAGCATACCCTGCACTACCTTTCCAACCCCGTCATCCGGACTCGTCTTTCACCGCCTGAACTCGCATATGCGACTCGGCACCAGGCTCTTCTCCACAATCACTATCTTTCCTCCTTCTTATCGTCGTTCCCGGCGCCGCTGCAAAATCTCAACGATACCGCTGGGAATATTAGCATGATCGACACGCCGGACCTGGATACGGCTGTGTTTATCCGCTTACTGGGAGATACGCGTGTCGAAGGGCGAGGCACAGACGAGGATGGCGCTATGGATGGTAAAGTTGGCGATATTGTTATTCTAAGGTGGTCGGATGCAAGGAAGTTGGTTGATTCGGGCGTGGCTGAGATAGTGTGAAGCCGGCCTGTCTTGCCAATTTTCTCCGCCACGACTTCGCCATAAACGATCCAGCAGCCGCCTTCGAAGCCTCTCGTGACATTGTCCCTGATGTTACGGTCACAGCACCCATCACAACAGTGGACGATCCACCTGGTATTAACTTCATCAGGAGTCCGGCGTATGGTCTACGAGACGAAAGGATGGGCGGCCTTAAACAAGAGTCATCTCGCCGCTTCATAAAGAGTGCTAGTTTCAGCGAGATATTGCGGTGTTTAGGGACATCGCTGCGGTAAAGGGTAACGTTACCTTTAAGTTAAGCTCTTAAGAAGTTGCTAGGTTAGCTAGGAAACTAATATATAAGATCTGAAAAAGGACTTCTATATGAAGTCATCGTATCTATAACTACGGAGTATCAACTCTCGAATTGGATATCGGATTACAATAGCATAGACTACGTTAGTCTATGGCTGAAGATGGCTACTATACCCTGGTTCTCCCCCCAAAGTGAGGCATTTATATTATACAAACAAATCCTTAAGAGTTATTCGTTAGAGTGGTTAGATATTCTGTAGCGAGTTTACATAGATTTATGCGCGTTTTAAATTCAAGAGACTCAATGTATCTCACTGCTGTGTGACGAGGTACATGGTAGTAACCTAGTAGATTAAGTGAATTACGAAGCATAAAACTTTAGCTGAATCCCTTATTCCAAAGTTACATATATTAGAAGATGGAAGGACCTGTATACCTAACCTAGGTACCTAAGGTACAATACCTAAATTATGTAATAAGGCTGTATCATAACGGGGAAAGAGTGATGTCAAATGGTAGTGGTGGAACCATTAGATTTGCTACCCTCCCCCCACTATGGAAGTGGGATACTCCTTTGTTTCATCAACCTCTACCACATCCTGATCTATCATACACCAGCAACCGTTCCTATCATTACCCATTTCTTCAAGTAGATCCTCCCTACCCTACGACCGCAAGTTTACTTGAGTGGGCATGGTGCCTAGGTTCGGACAGAATAATTGCAGTCATTCCAGCTGCCCCATATTATGACCTGCATATACTTGATCACCGTCTTATTTCGTTTTCATATGACAACGATTGGGTAGCCAACTACCCACCTAGCTGCAGCCCCTTCATAATGAGTAACCTTCAGAGGGCCTGGGCCAAGAACCGCCTAGCCGCCTTACCTCCCGAGAGTTTTGACGAGCGGGACGAAGATGAGGCTGACCAGGTTCCGGAGCTTCTAGAACACCCTGACGATGATTCATCCTCGGCTTCTTCAGCTTCCTCCACGGGAACCGTCATCCCTTCTCCAAGCCAGAACTTATTTGCTAGACCACAGGGGTAGTTCCTCTCAACTCGTATGCGCTCATTTCCACGGCAGCTGATTCTGGTACACAGCGCGCCGAGAGGACGATCTCTCCAGCAGATCCCCTGGACTACTTATTTCCAGCGGGAACTGTTCCTCCACGATCCAAGTAGCCCTACAGACCCTACCATCCATGCGTACCTAACGTCTCCTGTTGGAAAGGGCCCTTTGTTTATCATGCACCACGGTGCTGGTTCGTCTGGTCTTTCTTTCGCTCTAGTCGGGGATGAGATTCGGAAACGCCTCCCGTCGGCTGGCATCCTATCACTCGACGCCCGTGGTCATGGCTTAACAACGACACCTGCAGACAACCGAGCAATAGGCCTGAGCCTTGAGGTCTTTGCTGCGGACTTACTCTCAGCCGTACTGCTAACACAGAAGGAAATGAAATGGTCAGAGTTACCACCCATTATCTTAGTCGGACACTCGCTGGGAGGTGCGGTCGTGACAGAAGTGGCCAAGACGGGAAAGCTCGGTAGTTCATTACTGGGGTATGTTGTCCTTGACGTAGTCGAGGGTTCAGCCGTTGATGCTTTGAAGAGCATGAACACTTACCTTTCTACACGACCGACTGGTTTCACAACCTTAGAAGAAGGGATCGACTGGCATCTCAAATCGAGAACAATTCGTAACTCGCTCTCCGCCCGTACCAGCGTCCCATCTTTGCTGAAACTCAGTGGAGCCCCGGGTGATCCGAGACCCTGGAAGTGGAGGACGGATCTCGGGGCGACAGAGCCATTCTGGGAGAATTGGTTCACAGGGCTAAGCCAGAAGTTCCTGAGCGCGAGAGGCGGAAAGTTATTACTCCTCGCAGGCACGGACAGATTAGACACGGAGTTAACAATCGGTCAAATGCAAGGTTCGTGTTCCCCTTGGTTAATTCACGTCCGAAGTTGTACAGAGCTGACGTATTTCCTACGGCAGGGAAATATGCCCTGCAGGTATTTCCCGAGGCAGGACATTTCATACATGAAGACTTACCCGAAAAGATCGCGATATCTCTCGTGGACTTCCACAAGCGTAACGATAGGACTGCGTTGGTATTACCCCCGAAAGTGTCTGATTTACTTAAACAAGGTAAGAAAGTCTAGCTGGCGATTCGTAAATAAGAAGGGTAGATGAAGGCTTAAATGTTTGAATCAGCTGAACAAAGATCTTGAAGCACTCGTCATCACGACTCTTAAACTTGCTATGCGCGTTCCTATTCCTAGCCATCCCAAGTATCATTAAGCCTGTATCCCCCCCCCCCCCCCGCAAGCCTAACCTAAACCGTGAAACTGTAGATGTTTACGTACACAAATGCTCTCTACCTCCTCACCCCTAGAGCTAAAAGGAGGTATATGCTTATTTTAACGCCTTTAAATGCTATTTCCATCAACTCCTACGATGTAATTCGCAATCTACCTTAAACAGGCACTGCTATATTTTCAAACGGCGTCGCCCCAGCCGACCGCGCTTCTGTCTGCGCGTTTACGCCCCGTTCTGCCAAACCCTTCTTAGTTTGGGGCTTCGCTCGCGACTCAGCCATGTTACCTCCAGCGGCGAACGCACTGTTGTTGGTCTTCTTGTCTTTCTTTCCCGCGTTGTCCAGATCAATGTCCAGGTTGATATCGACCTCGCGGGCCCGCTCCATCAGGTGCTCGTAGCCAAGCATCTCGCACACTTTGGTATAGCTCTTGCAGGTGCTAATATTGCGGTACGCGGGCTGCTTTCCCGGGACGAGCTGGCAGAGTAGGAATTTGGTGTTGCCGAATTTGTTCTCCACCTCGAGCGCGTATCGGATGTACTGCTCCACGACATCGTTCCATGGTAATATGCCCCCGTCAGCTGCGCTTCGGAAGCAGCTGGGGTTCTTCTCGGCTTGTGTCGCGATCATGGCCCCGTCGACGCCGTATTCTTGAATTAGAGAGAGCGCTTGGTCTCGGGTTTCTACGTCCCCGTTCATTAGGCATGCAACGCCGGCTTCGTGGCATACGTCGGCGACCATGCGTAGCTGGCCGCGGATGGCGCGCTCCCTGGGTCGCATGGGAGTCGTTCGACAGTGTACTGTTAGCCCTGTTATCCCCGTCCCGACGAGTCTTCTAACCAGCACTTCCGTCTCCGCTGCCGTCTCCAGGATCCGGATTTTTACACTGATCCCGATCTCGAACTCGGGCGTGATGTTTTGGACTAGCGCTTCTAAAATGCCGACTAACTTGTCGGGGGTGCGCAGCAGAGCGGCGCCCATGCCGTCGTGCGTGCTGAAGGGCTTCGGGCACCCGGCGTTCACGTCGATACCCGCGACGTCGGCGGCGACGAGCCGTGCTGCCTGGACGGCTAGGTCTGCGTTCGAGGTGCCGATTTGGAAGATTAGTTTATTGCCTTCCTTCTCTGGATGGATTCGGAAGATTAGGCTATCTTTTATGTCGGTTGGTGGGGTTTTGGTGCCATGCGACGGCTTCCTCGTCCATTCGATGGTCTTAGTCTCAGGGTTGAAGCGCCTCGTCGTTCCGATTAGGGATCTATCCACCGTCTCGGGGCCTGCGCAATATGAGTTAGCGGGGTTGAACCTATATAAAGAGAAGAGAATAAAGGGGAAATACGATAAACATACCCCATACTAAATCAGCGCCGTAGTGTAGAGCCGTGAGTCGGGAGGGCAGCTCTCCCGAACGAACCATCGGCGCAAGAACGATTTTGCCCCGGTAGTCGACGCCGTTGCGAGGTATGGGAACCTTCTTCATTTCGGACGCCATGCTGCGGATTGCATTACGGAACCATGACATGTCAAGCGGTCGAACGAATAGGAAGTGATTAGATCACCACAAACAAACGAGGTAGGAGAAGGTTAAAGGTTAGAATGCAATGCGATAGTTTTAGGAATCTAGGTATCTATTCTTATCTAATCCAGCATCTGGAATCTAATCGGCATTCGAGGTACCGATTATCTGATAATGTATAAAGAATTTAACCTTATTAAGGTTTCGTCCTTAAACATCCAATACCAATACTGCATCTTGCTAGTAGAGTTCTTCGTTTTTACCAGATCTGTTTTACCCTATTATGAGAATCTGATATGCTATGTTAGGTTAGATAGGTTAGGTAGTTTAAGCAGATGAAAAAGCCGCACGCACAGACGACATGTATTTTAATCCTTTTTTCACTTAGCGTTTTCGTGTAAGCTGAAACCGGTGTTTTAGCACTTTTCTAAAACCGTTATTTTGAAGTACACTTATACTAGGTGCCCAGACCTACTACATTGATCGGAGCAACTAGTTGTAATACGAATGGGTCTATGTGTAAGTTATGTTGTGTCACCTGTGTAGCTTGCCAAATGTCCGTATCGATTACTCCTTTGTGGTAGCCTTACGAGGGAGATGTCAATGATACGTGCTGACTTAGGAGGCATATGCAAGGGGTTAATGACATTGTAGTCGTCGGGATTTGCATGTATTTATTACACCTATTATCCCTATGACACCTTTACCGATGCTAAGAATAGATTACAGTACCAGATCAAGGTTTTCGCCACGGCCCGAAATCTGGGAATCGTTCCTGAACATAAATCTGACATGCAGCTTCATGCAGAATTGAACTCTCAACACTTTAAACTTACGAAAGGCTCGCTTTATTATATAATCGACAATGTAAATGTAAGTATATAATTTAAAGTCGTATATATTGTTGTCTTTTTTTTCTTTATTGTTATTCACCCACGTAAATCTCCCCTTAAAAATCTCACGTCAGCCTCTGGCGTTAGCAACCCGTACCCTGCAGGACCTTTCTCGTAGGCATACGTCATTAGATTTTCAGCTGAGGATGAGACGAGTACAAATACTTCTAGACCGTCACCAAACCATTTGTTTGTCGTTGTTAATAGAGTTGTACAGACATGCCCAACTGAACCGAACCCCGTCCATTTGCGCTGAATTCGCACATCCATATCCACATTGAAGTTGGAGCCGAGCTTAACAGCAGCTCGCCAGAAAGACTAGTTGCAAGTGGTACCTAATAACATGTGACGAATTTGTACAGCTGAGCCTCTGGGACCTCAAGGACCAGGTGATGGAAGAGTCAGCTCAAAATGCGTACCTACATGTATGTATGTATATACGCAGTGCGCAGCTACACGTAAGGCAACAGATAAAAAAATTTGAGGGACTTGTTCAATGTTGTACGTAAACACTGAAATATATGCGCCTTTAGTTGCACTAATAGGGATAAGTTTGCCCTTGTTTGGTGGTCAAATTGGTAGTCAAATTGGGTGGTCAATATGCGCTTGTGTTAGGTACATGAGGTAGATCCGTATAAGTGAGGTACGTACCAAATATATAGTGTACCTCGTACTCGTGCAGTACCACTAAGGTAAGGTAGGAATCACGAAATCAGGGTAGTAATTACCTCTTGTTAGGCACGGGGTTCCACTACATACAGAAGCAGCCGACGTCACCCCTCCCCCAAAACATGTGCAGTACCGTGCCGACGTATTTCAACCTTCCTTGAAGGCAATATTGGAGATATATATAACAAAATCCTACGTATCAAATTTGTATGAGCTACAGCATATGATTACATACCATACATACCATTCATCCAGACCCTTACTTTTCTAATTGTCTTGGATGGGAATTATCAAATTTGAATAGAATTCCTTTTTTTTCGGGGGGTTTTTTTGATCTAGTTGTTCTAAAAAACCTAAAACCGTCTAACCTAGGGAATCAGGGAATCCCTCCTCAGAACCAAATTTATCCACCGACGCGAGGCGTTCCGCACTATCGAGTCCACGCATCTGGGACTCGTCACTTTAGAACCGCCACACGCCCTACTTCTCCGAGCGTCGAACCGTTGTTGAACGAATATTCTTATTAATCTTAGCTGGTGGATCCTCATACCTTTGTACAGTAAGAGTACTAGGTTGAAACCTAAGACACAAAGTACTCGGTTTCCATCCCATCCGCGGATTACCTTGGGATACCTAGGTACCTGGGCTTTGCGCACCCTGTCCGAAGAAAAGGGCTGTGCTTGTGCTTGTTCATTCACAGACTAAACAATGGTTTCTACAAGTGAGTGGACAGACATCCATTTATACTTCTTTCCCCTTCCTTTGAGCCACCAGTCCTTCTGAAGATAGTGATAAAGATCCAAAACTACTAAACGAGGACGAACCTTCAAGCCACGAGATCGTAGCAAACCTTAATTCATCGCACCAATTTGAGAACACTAAAGGCTTAGCCTAAATGTTCTCTGCAAGGTCGCGGCTCGACCGCTTGTCGTCCTTCTTCCCGTCACTAATCAGTCCTCAATCTCCAGACTCTCCTACGGGAGCCTTTCATCGTAAACCGCTACCCGATCAGTCCCCTGTCAAAGACAGGCCCCCGAGCCTACCGAGCCTACCCTTGGGGCCAGGGTCACTTGAAGAGTCGAGAGACGGTTCTCTAAGATCAAATTCAAATGACCTCTCTGACAACACCGCTACACCCCAGTCCATTTCAACCGACAGTAGGGACTCCTCCGAAAATGATGCCGCAAGTTCTACTCCAAACAAGTTGCAGAAACCCGCGCCGGTGACGGACAAGGCACCGCCATCTGATGCCGATGACACATTTCCCGCCCCTCAACGGGGATCAACTTTTCATTTCTTCGAGACCAAGTCATCCCCACGGCTCAAGAAAGACCAGAGACGGCGAAGTAGCTCTGTTGCAAGTGGCAGTCATAAAACATCGAATTCTCAGACCAATTTGGGGGTGCCTCAACCGGATTCGCCGACCCCTGAATCTAGGGTCCGAAGTGTGTCTGCACAGCCGCCTGTTACAAGACCGGCTCCAGGTTCAGGTTCAGGGAGCCTGACGGTTTCCGCAGCCGCACCAGCCGCGTCCCGTCCAGGATCGAGTAATGGAGGCGAAAGTCCAACGCGAGAAGCGGAACGGCGGGGACGCTTGAGAAGAAGTTGGCTACCAGGAGCAAGGTCAAGGTCGCATTCGCGGAGCCAATCAAAGACGATTAAGACTTCAGCGGCATGGATACTTGGGCAGAATACGGATTACAATACGTCGTTCCTGGCAGACGGGGAAAAAGTCCCGGAGTTGTGGAACGAGAATGGAAATGTGTTGGTCTACCTAGATGCTAAGGGAAGTGGCGGAAATGCCTCTTTTAAAGTCCCTTCGTTCGTCGTGGATTATTCACTAGTATTCGTCGAGCTTATGGAAGCCGAGATGACATCGCCTACCAGCTCAGGAAGGAGCCGTGCCCGCAGTTTTACCGGTCGAGATAGTCTGTCTGTCGATGATGCAACACGAAGAGTTCAGTCACCCACATTGTCCGAACCAGAGGTGTACGGGGAGTCGCGTCTATATCTTCCCGTTTCTATGTCCGATCCAGGTCATAGGTCACAGGCAGACATGGAGCGACTGATATCGATTCGAAATATGTTTGCGTTTTTGACCGGCCAGCCGCTAGTGTGTACCAAGGAACAGCCAACGCTCTTCAGCGTCTTCATCAACATATCCAGCTTACTCAAAGAATTCGAGTTCACAAACGCTGATGGGTCGACTTTTGGAGATGCCGTTGAAATGAGCTTTGGCTTTTTCATGGACCAGATGGGCCTTGCGGACGTGAGACATAGCAGGGAGAAGACGATAGAATCGCTCATTCTAGGCGAACGGATGCGCTCAATGGCCCTCTACAACGAAGCGTTTACCCATGCTGTGGGCAAATATTCGGCAATTAGAGACTTGAATTCGCCATTATGGGAACAAGTTTCCGTTACCACTCGCGAACGACTGGAACGCGCATATATCGAACTAGTGAACCGCCAAACCGGGGTTAATAATAGACTGGAATCGTTCGAATTTCCGGCCTTATTTTCTGGTGTCGCCAACTCTACATCCCGTTTAGAATACAAGGAGGTCAAATATCATACCTGGAGGAGATCTTTCGGCCGCATGAGACAATTTGCCCTTAACTATTACAAATCTACTTTTGGCAGTTGGCCACCAAAGGCCCGCAGCAAGAAAAACCCATTTACTGAAAGTGGGTTGAATAGGCAGGTTTTGAAAATAATGTACTCGGACTTCTGCGCGCTATACGATCTGCTCGTCGACCGCGAATCGCTAACAACACGAGTAATTGACCAAAACGCAGATGAGACCACTAGTCATAAGAATCCCCACCTGTCGGCTATGCGCAGGGTCCTTACAGAATTCGATCAATCCTCGCCTCCTGTACTCCCTCCAATTCCATTCGATCTTCCCAAGTTGCCAGATATGACCAGTGTTCAGGAGAACTTCTACGAGCTCTCCGCCAAGGAACAAGCGCGGTTAGGCAATAACTTGCAGGAATATCAGACGCTTTTGATCTTGAACAAGGCCTACGACTTCGAGACATACAAATTGGACATCCCATTTCTTAAGGAGTTCAAGGAGTTTGAACACAAGGAAGCCAAAGGCAAAACGGCAGCGGAAATGGCAGATCAACGTCTCGGCTACTGGCTGTTCCTATACGTTATTATCCAATCGCTTCCGATGCTGGTAGTAGATGCTCCCGGTCTACAGTTCACGGAAGGCGTCGAATACTTCCTCTGTCAGCCACCGAAGGGTCAGGCGCCATGGATAGAAGACGCGCCGGCAGTGCGCAAGAGGTGGTATGAAGTGGCCGGTGGAGGTGGCTTGGTTGAGCTTTCAACCGATGCCGTAGAGTTTAGTATCGAAGGCATCTACCACCGTAGCCACTGTTGGCTAGTAGCTAAAGGCTGGGAAGTTGGAGAAGACATCGGTCCTATGATGCAACAAGAAAGTCTATCACCATTGCCACCACCACAGTCCGTTTTTGCCGATATGGACCCAAGCATCTCAGCAAGCCCGCCGCCTCTGGCCAACCGGAGCGAGTCTCCTCAAAGTGGCCCTCCTGGTCTGGCACTTAGACAGAGGACTGGCTCACCAGGCGGTAGGAATCCTAACTACCGAAGTAGTGTAGCCTTCGGGCTTGAGCCTATCCCGATGCCTGAAGATGACTTTTCAATGTTGGGGTCGCGAATCTCTAGTGCTAGAGGTCCGTCTCCGGTTCCACGACCAATCAGTACCATGATGAGTCGTAGCAGATCTTCGGGCAATCTACATGGTCTCCCAGGTTCCCCTATTCAAGCACCTCAGGACTCGCGGAATAGTTCGAGGCAGGGCTCTGTGGGAGGAAGCACTTTTGATGATATTCTAAAGGACATGGAGAGAAAGCCGAAGAAAAAGAAGGGCTTTTTCTGATTTTGCTAGATTACGATTTATGATTTTCTACTTCTTTCCTAAGGAACGGGGATTTATTTTTCTCTTGTGGCAGAAGCATGCATGGTTTGATTATTGACCTATAATTGGCATATACAGGAGATCGGAAAATTTTATA